CTTAGTCTCTATTCGCCCACATCCCTAATTGCCCACATCCCAATTGGCCCACAAAAACATCAGAGGTTAATTAGGGTCAGACAATGCACCCCTACTCTCATAATGGGGTGTCCTGACAAGGGGGGGATTAGTCTAAAATCACATACATCTCTGAGTTACTTGACAAAGTGCTCTTGTTTCAGTGTTGTGGTAGTTATACAGGATGGAGAAGGAAACTTAGAGAAGATTTAAAGTATATTTCAATTTTGTCTAAATAAAGTAGAGAGTATTATTAATTAATGTATCTACTAATCGGAAATAACTCTCTCTCCTTTCAATTTAGTAACTCACTGCAACCCTATAAGTATGGTAGTTTGCAAAGTATGGGCAGTCGCAATGGCTAACCTACAGAAAGCAGAGTTCACGTTGTCGCAGAGAGGAGGAAAACAGGTTCTACACGGAGGTCACAAGTATCGACTGCACGTTGACAGACAGGTAGCCACTCACTGGAAGTGTATCATCGACAAGTGCAAGGGTAGATGCAGCACCATTGGGGATCACATCACTTCAGTATCAGAACACAACCATCCTCCACTAGTGAATGAAGAAGAGAGTCGACTTCTCACCAGACTTAGACAACGCGTTCAAGAAGAGATCAAGCCTGTCCAGCAAATCTACAATGAAGAGACCCAGAACCTAGACGAAGAAGCTGCGGTTTGGCGGCAGGTTTCAGAGAAAGGCCTTGTGAAAACCTACAAGGACAACCGTGCCTTCAACACCCACGTGCGACGTGCTGCAGCACTCCCCCTCCTCCCAGTGGATCAGATCCAAGATGCCTGGATGGAAGTATTGAACCAGTCTCCCGACGTTGACGGAATCGGCCAGTTCAACGACTACATCACATCTACATGGGTTGACTACGACGCAAGATTCCCACCTCGCATTTGGAATCAACATGGAAACACTGGGCCAAGAACAAACAATCACTGGAGGGATTCCACCTTGGATTTAAGAAGCTGGTTCAGAAGCACCACCCGAACATTTACGAAGTTTGTGATCACAATGAAGAAGCTCGAGACAACAAACAGAGTGGCCAGAAGACAGATTGAGCATGGAGCAGCTGTCCGCCCAAGATCCAGACTCTACAAGAACCTGACAGCCGCCTGCACAGACTGCAGCAGCAACTGGAAACTGGCAGAAGATCACCGCTACAGTTTCTGGACGCCGGCTGGACACCTGATCAAGTTGAACTGAACATTATGAAACTTTGTTACAGAAATAAAAACAAAATGTAAATTACTTTTGTCTTCATTTGCCCACATCTCAATTCGCCCACATCTTCAAAATAGGAGAGTCCATTCTTCAGTCATAGGTATGACACAAGTTGATCATTATGTAATCCCTAACCAATATGTTGTTTTAAAACTGTGGGCGAGATGGGATGTGGGCGAATAGAGAACATGCCCTCCATTATACCTGTAGGTGTTACCCTAATTAACCTTCTAGTTCAGTGTCTGTCAATTGGGTGTCTCTCAAATGGGTATCTATTTGACGAATTGTCATATCTTCCTCTTCAACTCTAGTGACTCTTTTTATATGTAGCGGTTTGAGCATGCTCTGGATGGACTATGGCGCATAAGAAATAGCCATTTATTATTAATATTATTATCTGTCAATTGGGAGATAACCATATACATGTAAATGAATGTAACAACTACAGACCTGTACATGTAGCACTAACTAGTTGTTTAGCCAAAGTATTTGCAAAATTTGTTTTCAAATATGTATTTAATAATCTCAGAGACAATAACTTACTAACAAATCTTCAGTCCTGGTTTACCCCTGGAGATTCACCATCTTACTAATTGACTTACCTTTATGATTTTATTGCTAAAGAATTAGACAAAGAGAAGGAAATAATAAGCAAAGCATTCGATAAAGTATGGCACAGATTAATCATTCAGAAATTGAAAGCTTACGGTATTTGTGGCAAACTACTTTTATGGTTTAAAAGTTACCTCGACGATAGAAGACAGCGTGTCGTAATCAACGGCTTCAGTTCCGAATTAAAACCAGTTACAGCTGGCGTCCCACAAGGTTCCGTCTTAGGACCGCTATTATTCTTAGTTAATATCAACGATATTGTCGATGACATTGACAGTAATATACGTCTGTTTGCTGATGACACTTCGCTCTATGTAGTAATAAACGATCCGAATGCAGCAACACAATGTCTGAATTATGATTTATCTGTAATATCAGACTGGGCTAAAAAATGGCAAGTTGATTTTAATCCAAATAAAACGGTCTCTATTCAATTTACCTGTAAACACATTCAGAATATCAAACCAGTCTTAACGATGGATAACACTAACATAAACGACGTCACATCTCACAAACATTTGGGAATAGTTCTTCAACAAGATTGTATGTGGCATAGTCAAATCGAAAATGTCAAAATAAAGTCAGTCCAATGATAAACTGCCTAAGAAGTTTTAAATATCGCTTCAACAGGAAAACGCTGCAGAAAATGTACAAATCGTTTATTTTACTAATATTCGACTACGCGTGTCAGGTATGGGATAATTGCGCTAAAGAGCAAACGCTTCTTCTAGAGAAATTAAATCTAGACGCTACCAGAACTATCCGCGGAGCTGTTTTCGGCACAAGTCATAATAAACTATATTCTGAGACAAATATTTCTTCACTTGAAAATAAAAGACGCCGTCAAAAATTAAACATATTTTATAAAATGGTTAACAAACTAGTTCCAGATTATTTGTCGAGTTTAGTTCCAGAAAAAGTATCATCTGTAAGTGGATATAATTAGAGAAATAATTCTCACCTACCAAATATTAAATGCAATACTAGTTTGTACTCCAATTCATTTATCCCTGACACGGTAAACATCTGGAACTCTCTCCCTCCAGATATCGTAAACGCCCAAACTAAAAGAACACAACACCAGTGAAATCTACTTTAATCTTTCCCATGGTTCAAGATTTTGCCAGATTATCCAGTCCCGACTTTGGCTTGGGTGTAGCGATCTAAATGGAGATAAGTTTTCCAGATATATATCTGATAGTCCTGAATGTAACTGCGGGCATCACACCGAAGATGCGCTTCATTTCTTCCTCATCTGTCCCATATTTAACGACATAAGATCAAATGCATACTTCTTTAGTAGAGGATTTAATTTGTCATCAATATTATTTGGTCATTCGGGCTCATCAGAACAGGTAAATCTGGAACTACTCAAATCGGTACATAACTACATCATATTTTCCCAGAAATTCTCGCAATTTACTTAACCTAGTTTTATTGTACATGCCGTGCCTTGCTGTTATACTGAGATCACAACAGCTTCTAGTTTATTTGCCTTCAACGTATGTTTGCAAATTGTAACACATTATATTGTCAATATTGTTCCTTGTAGATTCACATTATGTTTTGCACCCAGCTCATGTGTACGTCACTATCATTATTGTTAATACTATTGTATCATTGTTAGGGAGCGGCATTGATATAAGCATGTTTTTATGCTTGTTTGCCAATCCCATCATGACTAAATGAATAAATATGATTAAACCACATTAATTGAAACGCTTTCTACGTACAATGAATTTATGGACTTGACTAAAAATATTTTCATTTATAGGTTTGTGTCAGACTATGAAGCTGTACAGAATAGTGTTAATATCTATTACTGACTATCCTGTTTCTTCAGTTTCTCTCGTATTTCATTTCCAGCCATTGCCATTCTGTCATCTTTCTGCCGTTCTTGTTCTTAGACCTGCACATACAGAAAATGAATCTTTCGGATCAGGTCATATGGACTGACTTCACATCCAAAATGTACAGAAAAACAGTTTTTAGAATAACACATGTCAGGCTTATTGTTGACAGAGTAACAGTCCACAGACTTACAGCTGACAACTGTTGACACTGTTGACAACTGACAGAACACTTGAACGAAGACATCTTGACAATCAAATTCATGTTTACTGGCGGGGAAAAGTCTGTTGTTTGCATATGGTGCAAGCCAGACTAACAGTACTTTCTTCTGAAAGACTTAACATTGATAAACTAACTGGTGACAGAATTACAATTGTCAGACCAGCTGCCGATAGACTAGTTTGTTTGTATGGTGTATAACGCAACACTCAGCAATATTCCAGCTATATGGCGGCGGTCTATAAATTATGGAGTGTGGACCAGACAATCCAGTGATCAACAGCATGAGCATCGATATACGTAACTGGGATACGATGACATGTGACAACCTAGTCAGCGATCCTGAACACTCAATCCCATTAGTCACCTCTTGCGACAAGCATGGGTTGCTGAAGACCAATTCTAACCCGGATCTTCTGTGGTCTGTTGATGGACTAGCGTTTAACCAATTAACAGTTGAGGAAACCAATGAAGATTTGCTTTTAGTGTGATAATTAGTGCAAGATGTGAAGGTTATGTAGTCAGCAGTTACAATCACAGATGAACATGTCCAGTTTTAAGATGGAGGTACAGAAAATGACAGTATTCTGTAGTCAGTCGAGCCTCATCAGGAGCTGGCCAGGATTGTTTGGAAATACCCAATCAATAACACAAACATCTTGTGCCAGAGTGTATACTTATACTCTGAACTATAATGATACATATCTGTCTGTTGTTTTCTGTCCACCTAACATGACATCAAACTACAACTTTCCAAATCTTCAGACTACAGAAACTCATTTTTGATTTTTAATAGGTAATCAATCAATTAAGTCTAAAAAGAATTTCAGCCAACTTCTATATCTTGTTATACAAATTGTCCACATCCAAGGACATGGAACTTTGCTGCCCCATCCTGCTGAGCATCCTTCACAACCAGTACAGCTAACGGAGGACTCATGCACCACAGACATTCTAAACATGTTCCAAGTTTCCTGACTCCGATACCAGTGGACGAAGATGTTGCCTTACCCTCAGGAGGAATTCACGGTTCTTGATGATGTCAGTCAGCACACCCATCTCCAGCGCCAAGGCGCCTCCCATGCCAGCCCCATTCTCCTGAACAGATGGAGGAATACAGTCAGTACAAGCTGATTCAGGATTAACATCGCATAGCAATAGTTGACAGGCACCTTGTGAGTCAGGACACAAAGCATTACATGCAAAATGTAATATCACAAAATGTATTCTATCATGACTGACACGACTATCCCCTGACTTGAGAGCAAACACATCCAATGAAACTATGAATGGATGCAAACACAGACACTGAAAGTACTTTCTTCCCTGTTAACCCATTATCACCAATCAAATATCTATTGTTTAACATGTGTTCTGCTATATCCACAAAGAAACAATAACTCAGTCTTTCTTGTAACTGCAGCACATTATGTTAGGGAATGAAAACTGTGAGGAAGAATCCCTGGCTCACCATATCGTCTGTCCTCATCAATGATGGAGCAAAACATGTAGCCAGGTTCTCTTGTGACATGCGGTTCTCACTGCTGAACTGAGACACCCTGGAACAGACAATGTGAACATATACCCCACTGAGACACCCTTGATCAGACAATGTGAACATATACCCCACTGAGACACCCTTGAACAGACAATGTGAACATATACCCAACTGAGACACCCTGGAGATGAGGTGCAATTAGGTTTCACGTCGTGCTTGAGAATATTTCGCTCATATGACGACGTGCATGCGTGTGTATGTGTATGTGCGGCTGCTTGTACTAGCCCAGACTTAAGCTGGTTTTATAGTGCTAGCCCACTGAGATACCATACCGCAGTGAAGCATGAATACCCCACTCAGACACATTATACTGACTCCGAGCCGACCAGTCCTTGTTGTACCCATTAATGCCGAGCGCCAGACAGGGACCAACAAGTACCATATTTTAACGTCTTTTGGTATGACGCGGTCGGGGATCGAACCCGCGACCTTCCGCTCTCCGGGCGGACGCTCTAACCACTACACCACGGAGGCGGTCGAGACACCCTGGAACAGACAGTGAGAACATATACCCCACTGAGACACTCTGGAACAGACCATGAGAACATAAACCCCAGTGAGACACCCTTGATCAGACAATGTGAACATATATCCCAATGAGACACCCTTGAACAGACAATGTGAACATATATCCCAATGAGACACCCTTGAACAGACAATGTGAACATATATCCCACTGAGACACCATTGAGCAGACAATGTGAACATATATCCCAATGAGACACCCTTGATCAGACAATGTGAACATATATCCCAATGAGACACCCTTGAACATACAATGTGAACATATATCCCAATGAGACACCCTTGAACAGACAATGTGAACATATATCCCACTGAGACACCCTTGAACAGACAATGTGAACATATATCCCACTGAGACACCCTTGAACAGACAATGTGAACATATATCCCACTGAGACACCATTGAACAGACAATGTGAACATATATCCCAATGAGACACCCTTGATCAGACAATGTGAACATATATCCCAATGAGACACCCTTGAACATACAATGTGAACATATATCCCACTGAGACACCCTTGAACAATCAATGAACATATATCCCAATGAGACACCCTTGAACAGACAATGTGAACATATACCCCACTGAGACACCCTTGATCAGACAATGTGAACATATATCCCCCACTGAGACACCCTTGAACAGACAATGAACATATACCCCACTGAGACACCCTTGAACATACAATGTGAATATATATCCCACTGAGACACCTTGATCAGACAATGTGAACAGAGACACCCTTGAACAGTGAACATATACCCCACTGAAACACCCTTGAACAGACAATGTGAACATATATCCCACTGAGACACCCTTGAACAGACAATGTGAACATATATCCCACTGAGACACCCTTGATCCCCAGAGTCAATGTGAACATATATCCCACTGAGACACCCTTGAACAGACAATGTGAACATATATCCCAATGAGACACCCTTGAACAGACAATGTGAACATATATCCCACTGAGACACCCTTGAACAGACAATGTGAACATATATCCCAATGAGACACCCTTGAACAGACAATGTGAACATATATCCCAAATGAGACACCCTTGAACAGACAATGTGAACATATATCCCACTGAGACACCCTTGAACAGACAATGTGAACATATATCCCAATGAGACACCCTTGAACAGACAATGTGAACATATATCCCAATGAGACACCCTTGAACAGACAATGTGAACATATATCCCAATGAGACACCCTTGATCAGACAATGTGAACATATACCCCACTGAGACACCCTTGAACAGACAATGTGAACATATATCCCACTGAGACACCCTTGAACAGACAATGTGAACATATATCCCAATGAGACACCCTTGAACAGACAATGTGAACATATATCCCACTGAGACACCCTTGAACAGACAATGTGAACATATATCCCAATGAGACACCCTTGAACAGACAATGTGAACATATATCCCACTGAGACACCCTTGAACAGACAATGTGAACATATATCCCACTGAGACACCCTTGAACAGACAATGTGAACATATATCCCACTGAGACACCCTTGAACAGACAATGTGAACATATATCCCAATGAGACACCCTTGAACAGACAATGTGAACATGTATCCCAATGAGACATCCTTGAACAGACAATGAGAACATATACCCCACTGAGACATCCTTGAACATACAATGTGAACATATATCCCAATGAGACACCCTTGAACAGACAATGTGAACATATGTCCCACTGAGACACCCTTGAACATACAATGTGAACATATCCCACTGAGACACCCTTGAACAGACAATGTGAACATATATCCCAATGAGTCAAACCTTGAACATACAATGTGAACATATATCCCACTGAGACACCCTTGAACAGACAATGTGAACATATAACCCACTGAGACACCCTTGAACAGACAATGTGAACATATACCCCACTGAGACACCCTTGAGCAGACAATTAGGAAAACAGGCATTTGGGCATCTACATCTGCACAAAAGCAGGCACATAGATGTCACTGAAAACACATGGGACACTGATCTCAATGGGGCAGTTTATCCAGACTCACCTGTATAAATGCATCACAAGTTTCTTGAGAGTGTTGTAGATGATCACAGGCAGTTTGTCCAGACTCACCTGTATAGATGCATGACAAGTTTCTTGAGAGTGTTGTAGCTGATCACGGGCAGTTTGTCCAGACTCACCTGTATAAATGCATCACAAGTTTCTTGAGAGTGTTGTAGCTGATCACGGGCAGTTTGTCCAGACTCACCTGTATAGATGCATGACACGTTTCTTGAGAGTGTTGAAGTTGATCACAGGCAGTTTGTCCAGACTCACCTGTATAGATGCATGACAAGTTGTTTCTTGAGAGTGTTGTAGTTGATCACAGGCAGTTTGTCCAGACTCACCTGTATAGATGCATGACAAGTTTCTTGAGAGTGTTGTTGTTGACCATATGCAGTTTGTCCAGACTCACCTGTATAGATGCATGACAAGTTTCTTAAGAGTGTTGTAGCTGATCACAGGCAGTTTATCCAGACTCACCTGTATAGATGCATGACAAGTTTCTTGAGAGTGTTGTAGCTGATCACAGGCAGTTTATCCAGACTCACCTGTATAGATGCATGACAAGTTTCTTGAGAGTGTTGTAGTTTATCATATGCAGTTTGTCCAGACTCACCTGTATAGATGCATGACAAGTTGTTTCTTGAGAGTGTTGTAGTTTATCATATGCAGTTTGTCCAGACTCACCTGTATAGATGCATGACAAGTTTCTTGATAGTGTTGTAGCTGATCACAGGCAGTTTGTCCAGACTCACCTGTATAGATCCATGACAAGTTTCTTGAGAGTGTTGTAGTTGATCATGCGCAGTTTGTCCAGACTCACCTGTATAGATGCATGACAAGTTTCTTGAGAGTGTTGTAGTTGATCACAGGCAGTTTGTCCAGACTCACCTGTATAGATGCATGACAAGTTTCTTGAGAGTGTTGTAGTTGATCATGGGCAGTTTGTCAAGCAGGTAGTGGTACCAGTTCAACTTGCGTGTCTGGTCGCTAACCGCTGCAAAATACAGACAGGACAAGTGAGATGACAAGGTCAACAAATTATATGCTGTTTGTATTAAGTCTTGTAAATGACAAGTTCTACAGTAAACCATGTCTGGAATAAACACAAAATAACCAACTGCAGCACATAACAAACTGTGTTTGTTGGTCCCGAACATTTTCAGGATATTCCAATCAAAATGCGAACAGTGAACTGACGTCTTCACTGTCTGAAATTAGTGGACCCCGTGAGTTCATGATAACCACAGTATACTGTATATCTAAGTCATACGCTAAAGATGACATGTTTTGCAAAGCATTGCTTGATTTGCTGGACCTGCGATTTCTATCCAATGCTTTCTATCACTGGCGAAGATTGACTCGTCCAGTTCTCGGAAGAAGCGCTTCAGGGCATTTGCCACTTCATTGCAGGTGAAGTCTTCCATCTTTACACCTCTTGCATCTGGAACAGTCAACGGAAGGTAGAGACAGTACTGTGGTTTTGAATTTGAGGAATATGTCACTTGCTGAAAACCTTTAAACTGTATATGGAACAATTCCATCAAAATGAGGTTACGAAGAGATGATTTACAGGTTATCTCCATTATATTGCGATATATTGCAATAATTTAAGAGATGTTGCAATATATATTGTTATATATTAAATGGAGAGTTTCTGCCCAAGTGTGCGTACATCATAAATTCATAATAGCTCTCTGTGTGTGCGACATTATCTTCTTAGTTGCTGTTACACAATACTTTCAGGCTCCCGACGGTCCTCATTGTGCATGGCTGTATGCCATTACAGATAAATAAAATGATATAGAACCTTAATGTGGAATGTTTCATTGAGGGACTGCAACAAAGGTTTGAGAACATAATGATAAAGTATAGTAATAGTATAAAATAAGTTTCACGGTCAGTGAATTTAAGGGTGTTCACCTATTTTGTTCTGGAGAGCTAGGGTGGGGTCAGCAGTTTTGTACACACACGTTTTGGGGGTGGGGTGGGGGTGGGTGTCAGCAAGTTTGTACATAACACTATGTTTTAAAATACGCTAAGAAATTATGGGAAGGGGAGGGTCATTGATTTTATACATGACATGCAGGGGGAGTGTTCACTTATTTTGTACATTTAGGAGGGGAGTCATTCACATTGTACATGCTTCTTCATAAAAATCATCATCACACACACACACACACACACACACACCCCACCCCACCCACCAAGCCATAAATTATGAGCGGTCCCTTAATTCCTCCAAAATGTCACATATGAAACCATTCCAACCCACAAAACGGAACGCATTTGGTAGAATATTTGGCCACTTATAAAGATACTCCCACTTGTAAACTATTACATGAAACCAACAGAATTAAAAGTATATTTGGCACGTTTAGAGCACATTTTTTGCTTGGAAATCAAAAGCAGATAATGCAAAGGGAGCTAACTCTGGATGACCCAATATATTGCAGAATCTGAACCATATCGCGATAATCGTATCGCGAGATACTGTACCGGTATATACCGGTTTACCGGTAATATTGCAAAGCCCTATTTTAAAGTGCAACTCAACTGAGTAAAGGTGCGTTAGTTTGACATGGGTACCCTAGTCTGACAAGATACTAGCTTCGAGCCCCCCTGTATGGTAACAACAAGTACCAGCACATGTATAACTCTCACCTTTCCTCAGCTCCTCCAGCAGTAGCTGTACCCGAGAGTTTGTTGCACTTTCCCGGTAGATGCCCCTTCGACTTCAGACCTGCAGGACAACTCTACACAGTCTCTACACAGTCTCTACACACATTTCAACAGCAAAGATACACAGGCAAGATTGTTGACAAGTCTTAATTAAATAAATCTTCAAAACAATTAAGGAGCATTGTAGACTAAGCATGAGGATAGTAAATGCCCATTAATCTCAGGTACAGGTTGAGTGGAAAATATGCGTCTTAGAATTCTGAGTGTATAATTAGCGTTCTGACAATAATGATAGTTATTTTCAAGATATCCAAACTGATGGGACAGAAGTAAGACGTGATGAGCGTATTTCAACCAGGAGTGAGTATAGTGCAATCCAGAGAAGTTACACCGAGTCAGTTACTTCTACCTGCAGGTCCAGTCCCTTACCTGACATAGTGATGGCATCAATACACCTGTTGACGATGACAGGAACATCATCGGACGTCAGCTGCTGATCCTGCAGCGTCCTGCCACTCTCCTGCATGAACAACAACATGAACAACATCATGAACAACAGCACGAACATCATGAACAACAACACGAACAACATGAACAACACGAACAACATCATGAACAACAACACGAACAACATCATGAACAACACGAACATCACGAACAACATAACGAACAACAACATGAACAACATCATGAACAACACGAACAACAACATGAACAACAACACGAACAACAACATGAACAACACGAACAACAACACGAACAACAACATGAACAACACACGAACAACAACATGAACAACATCATGAACAACAACACGAACAACAACATGAACAACAACACGAACAACATGAACAACAACATGAACAACATCACGAACAACAACATGAACAACAACACGAACAACATGAACACATGAACAACAAATGAACAACAATACGAACAACACGAACAACAACACGAACAACAACACGAACAACAACATGAACAACAACACGAAAACATCATAAACAACATGAACAACAACACGAACAACCATGAACAGCATCAGGAACAGCAACATGAACAACAACGTGAGCAACAACACGAACAACAACATGAACAACAACACTACAATTGGCACAATACCCTAGACTATGTTACTTCGCTGTTTAAACACCAATCTCCCAGCTTGGTCGAACAGCCTGTAAAACACCTGCGTCTGGACCAGACTGGTGACCCATCTTAAAGTGACTCACCTTCATTGCCTTCTCACAAGCTGCAAATAGTTTCTCCGTGTCCCGCACTAGATCAGCCTGAATGTACAGGGCCCTGGAACAAGGACACACACTACTTATACCTCGTGCAAGTACATCAGGTACCAAGCTGAAGGTCTTCATCAGACAATGATCACAGCCGGTAAACGCAATGCTTGTTAGGACATGTTTTCATTCAAGTCCTGTATTTCCTTATTGTTTCCTTCATCAGTGCCGTTGCAAAGAGCATTTATTTCATTCAAGTCCTGTATTTCCTTATTGCTAACAGTCTCATACATACCCATGCAAGACAATGGCATCATGCATTAATATGAATAGCAGGAATTGATTATAGATCATAGGATCAGTTAACCTTCTAATTCAGTCTTGTTTCAGTGAAACAGAAAAACAAAAAGGCCACTGATTTCTGATTGGTTGTTAATAGAACAGGGAGTGTTGCATTATTGTATTGGGTGATGTACTGACAGGTGACAGGTGAGTGATATGTGTGTGACAGTATCCCCTCATTTCCATGTCGATACAGTTTACTTTGGAGGCTGTACCTGAGCACAGGTGAAATGCAGATTTCTCACTTACCTGTTTGTGGCATTTATCACAAAATGTTGACCTGTCTCAGTACACATTCTACATCCTCTGTCCATCTCCTGGTACTCTGTAACAGAACCATTCAACATCAGGACTCACACACCATTGCTATAATACAACTTACTGGCTTACATTCCTTATTAACATACTCCAGTGAGATAACTATCAACCTAGGTAAACATTTCTATTAACTCAAGGTGGAATTTAACCCAAATACAAACTGACATTTACGTATGATGAAAGTTTGAATTGATTAGACTTCACAAGAGTGTAGCTGTGGGCGTCCTTCACCAGCCCACCATGTCAGTGGATCTACCATCACATGGACTCTACTTTGGTCCTACTTACTAATACTGCTGGCTTTTCTCAAGTCCACTGTCTCCAGCTTCTGATTCTGGAAGACAACACAACAGGTAATCAGTGTCTTAGTGCCATGCTATCACCATCATCACTATCACTAACATCAGCATAATCACCTTCTATAGAGTCATCATGAACTTATCCCAGCAGACCAGTATCACACAGTTGAATGTTGGAATATTACACAGGTAACCTGTAAACTGCATCGCGCCACTGGTAAGTCATGGAATTATCTACATTAATGCTGCACTCTCCAATATTCCAGTTATATGGCAGCGGTCTGAAAATAATCCATTCTGGATCAGACAATCCAGTGATCAACAGCATGAGCATCGATTTGGATACCATGACATTTATCAGCTAAGTCAGCGGGCCGTTAGTCGCCTCTTACGACAAGCATGGGTTGCTGAAAATCAATTCTAACCACGGGTTCTCTATCTCAACATGAGCCAATGCACACAACAACAGGTTATCATCAGCTCACCTGGTTCATGTAGTACAGCAACCTCCCGCACAGCATGAGCCAATATACGAAACAACGGTTTATCATTAGCTCACCTGGTCCATGTAATACAGCAACCTCCAGCTCAGCATGAGCCAATATACACTGCAACAGTTTACATCATTAGCTCACCTGGTCCAATATAATACAGCAGCTCACCTCCAGCTCAGCATGAGCCAATATACACTACAACAGTTTATCATTAGCTCACCTGGTCCATGTAATACAGCAACCTCCAGCTCAGCATGAGCCAATATACACTACAACAGTTTATCATTAGCTCACCTGGTCCATGTAATACAGCAACCTCCAGCTCAGCATGAGCCATGACTTCCGCCAGTCCTGAAAACACAAACATGGCATTACTGCATACCTGGGAACCAGCTATCTGTCAGCTGTTTGTTGTTTTAGTTGCAGCAACTCATCAACTTCATTCAGCATTTAAACAAATTCAGGTCACAAAACTGTTGCAAACATCTTAAGCAGCATCCACTACCATACCGCCATTGTCGTCACATGAAACGAACATGACCTACACCATGGATGTTGCCAATATGTTGTCAATATTTTAATGATGATTATCAATGAACTAGTATCCTACTTTCTATATAGACTAGAATGAAACGTGAACAATACCTCTGAAAAATTGTCTTTGACATAATAGTTTCCTCCAAGTGAGAATTCCATCACCCCAACATCCTTCATTATGCTGCCCGGGCAGATTAGCTGAAAGGGCAAGATACACACTGTACAACATTGTATAATCTCAAAAGGAATTATAGCACTTGTTGGAAATGTTGACAACGGTGAAGTATTAGAGATGCAATGATAAAATGTGTAGTGGATTACTGTAGTAACAAGCTGCATCAGACAAATGGGTTGATTGAATGATGCTGGTCTTGAAACTTGTACAACTGAAACATCTCCAGGGTACAGAGAGTTAAGTAAACCACTCGACTATGTCAAATGTTTGTTGTTAGAAGAGGGTCAGTGCTGTCACTCCATTTTATGTTTAGTATGACCCATATCAATAACTTCTCAACCCACACAGGAGACCTATTCCACAAGTTGATGTCGTTTTGCAAGAACATTGTTTTCACTTACACTTATATAATACTTACACTTCTATATATCAAAGTCCGGTGAATCCGATTTGTGTTTGTCGACTATCAGGTCAGTATTATAGGAGTGGGGAGAAAAAACGACAGAGGTGCAGCCAATGTTAAAGCAATAGGGAAAAAGCCTGAGGTGAACTTACGTCCATGTTTCCATGTATTTTGAACCACTTTCCGATGTAAGTTTTCTCCTCCCAACATAGAAGTCTCATAAAGTCTGTCCACTCCTAGAAAATACTGTAGAAAGCAATCTTGTGCCAGATATGGCCAATGTCGAGTATCTTGCTGGCAATCTCGGTAGAACAAATCTACAACGTTTGGAAGGCCTACCAACAAATGTAGAAGATATACGTTTGGCAGGGAAGTTAAGGTTCTCGTAGTTTTCAGAATCGCCATCGCAGTACAAGGGTCCTTGGCGACTATAGCACCAAAATATATGCAAACAAGTATCCTTCATTTCTCCTTATACAGAAAACTACAACAGCATACGGCAACAGAAGGCAAAGAGTAGTCCAACACACACAAGAGTAGTCCCTGTAAAGGTGCACCACCTCTGGAAGCCCCCAATTCGGTTTCCACAGCCGACTACAGTGCAACTCCAAAATAGTTGTCCAACACATGCCACCAGCGGCACTGCACCCTAGTTAGAGATATGCAGGTGTATGTATATAGAACACAACAATGCCATGAACCAAACTATTGTGAGAAGCCTATGCCGAGATCCGAACGAGTCGTTTGTCCCTTCGGGAGGCGAAAAAGAAGTACCATATATCGCAAGCAAGATATACGCGAATCCGGGGCAGCTCCAATACAGACCCTGAGACACAAACAGAGGCATGCACAGAGACAACTTCTGACATGACAGAGGCCTTCGAGACCCTGCTAGAGAAGTGCCCGCTTCTCTTGCTTTCCGACAAAGAGAAACAAATCCTGGAGCAATTGGGACACACCTTCTCTGAGCCATACCTGATCTCACAACAGTTTCTCGAACTCTATTTTCTGTGCTTTCGCCAATTCATAAAAGACGGTAAAATAGTCAATTTTGTCTACCTCTACCCACCAAACCAATTCGACCTGCAGCAGACAAATTCGAAATCGTTCTTGACGATTGCCTGGAGACAAAGGGCAGACACAACCAATGCACGGACTGCCTCACTGCTATATCAGAACTACCCACTCTATTCGAACCAGACAACTCTACTTGCAAGTGCGGTGCCATAGACCACTGCGTTGGCAGCAAGAAATGCATTCTCTGGGAAAACAAAGAGATGTGCCATACACCCCTGGAGCGACTCCTACTCGAGGTTCCAGATGAAATTGAAATTGATGGCTGTTTTGAGAACATGCGATGACGACTGCCTCCTCTGTTGGCTGCGATACAAACACCGCCTCGACAAATTGGTGGACAATTGTCCATGCAAGAAAGATCCAGCAGCTAGCGGGGAGAGCAGCCCCCCCACCTGGATGGCATACCCCATTGCCCAACTATGGCAGGCCAAAGGAGATGGACAGGCAGCCCCTCCATACAAAGAACGCCAAAAAGCGGCAGCAATCCAGAGGCAATCTATACATGCAATAAGTTTGCCGTAGACAAGGCTGAAGGGAAGAACAGTCTGTTGCTGCTGCCCTCTATGCCGACTGGAGAAACAATTCCGATCTTTGACTACAAGATACGAGAAACGATTCGAGACACCAGTGGAATAGAAAATCTATGGTTGGTGGGCCCTTTTCTGTGAAGACTTGGCAAAGTCTGTTAATTGCCCATTTCGTAAAGGAAAGAAGAATGAGAAGTTCGAGTTGGTGTTTCCCAGAGAGTGGAAGGAACAGACACCCGTGGAGATTCGTCAGAAGAAGACGACCAAGCAGGTATAGCTTCTATCTAGTCTAAAACAACATACAAACATACAAAGATGCATACAAACATACATACGAAAACACACTTTTTTCTTTCTCCATGTAGAAGGGGTGCAGGGATTAGGGCGCTTGCTTTCTTATCGTTGGCTGGTGGGTTGGCCGTTATGTGGTCTGAGTGCAGTGCTTCCAGGCCGTGTGGACAAACGAAAGCTTAATTTTGGGGCCGATTCTAGCATCTGCCCCACCATCTGGATATCCACTTCTTTGAGAGGCATTTAGAAGTTTGGGCAGTATGGAAGGATAACAACATATATGGATGAACAACTTTATTACTATGAGAGCGATGTTTCAGTGTAGGTTCGAACACCGTTATCAAGCAAGTGATGAACAGCATAACGATAGAGAAGCATATATACAAGTTAGGGGAGATGTTTGTACAGTACAATAGGGTTTGAGGAAGCCAGACATAATAACAACACAAGGGCTTTGATATACGCATTAACATGGTTGTACTGGAGGGCGACGTCACATTTGGAGCTATGTCACTGGTGGGCAAGGGGGTGTTGGTCCATGGTTCTGCGGCAGGCAATATGGTTGTGTTGGAGCGCTTTCGCCATAGTGTGTAGAGCCTTGTGGACCCGATACCGACATGCTTTTTTACCTCGGCTGCCGGGAGCATGCCCCAAAGGGCACTGTTTTCTTGGATCTGGTCTGGAGGCAAATCTCGTTTTGGTGGCAAGAAACCTCGCCCGAGGTCAAATTAGCGCTTCAGTATAGATAGCTCCAAATGCGACGTCGCCCTCCAGCCCAGCCTTATTGCCTTCTGTAGAACCGTCGACCAACACCATCTTGCCTGCCACCGAGATAGATCCAAATTCAACGTCGCCCAACATCCAGGACTTCTACAACCACCTGGGGAAGTTCGAGGCCAGTGAGGAGCAAACCATGATGATATTGTTGGCTAGTGTGGAGCAAACCACCACTATGTTGGTCGACATCTTGTCTAGGCTGGACAACGACAATGAAAGCAAAGAGGAGGAACAAGCGACTGACACTCAGTCTGCAGATTTTCATCAGACACTACAGCACCAAGATCCTGAAGACGGGTCCAAGAAAGAACAGAAATGTTTGAGGACAGAAGGCAAAGAAGTGATCTCCCATCACCCATCAACAATCTCATGTGCCAGAAGACTCCCCTATGCCTCTCCTCCAGAAGATGCAGAGGTGGAGGATAGGCCTATTCAGGCCCCCATCACTGCTGAGTCGCACAGCTCTCCTTGCATTGCATAGTGTTGCATAGTTTGTTGCTGCAGCATAAATACAAAGCCCAGGGCTGCAGTGTTACGAGGACGTTGATCGATGACTAGTACCGTCAAGAGGTGCAGCCTGCTTTTATACTTGACTACTGATTTTGGCCACAAATCCACCAGTCCGATTACACTACGAATAGTAACTGATAGCAGACAGACATCAGGCCGCTACCAGTCTTTCATTTGATTAACCCGATCAATGTTGGATCGCTATCGGATTTTACAGAAAAAAGTCACACCCCACCCAGCCCCAAAAAGGACGCCAGGTGAATTTTGATCGGAAGTCATCGGAACGCCGATATTTTCGCAAAACTGGGATCAGATGGGCTTCAGATGAGGTTCTGATGGTCAGTGGAATAATAATAGCATATTTGTAATGCGCATATATCCATGCTTATGCATGCTCAAAGCACACAAATAAAAATGCAAGTAAGGCAAAGAGCTACAGTTCAAAGGCTATCTTGAACATGTGTGTTTTTAGATTGGATTTAAAGGTATGAAAGTCAGATCTGTCTCTAAGCCTCTGTGGGAGACTGTTCCAGGCCATTGATCCTGCGTGGACAAAGGACCTGTTTTCATACTGCACTGTCTTTACTTTGGGTACAACAAGCAAGTTTTTATCCTGTGAGCGAAGAGATTGGGAAGGTGTGTACACGGTTAGAAGGTTGGATAGATAGGAAGGCGCAGTTCCAGTGAGACAGCAGAAAACAAGGCATAAGAGTTTAAACTTGATCCGGAACTCGACTGGAAGCCAGTGGAGAGTGTACAGTATAGGAGTAATGTGTTCATATTTTCCAGAGCGAGTCATGATGCCGGCAGCGAGGTTCTGCACTCTCTGTAGCTTGGCTATCTGGGTCTTTGATGCACCCGCCAGTAAACAGTTACAATAATCAAGCTTACTCATTACAAGTGACAATACAAGAGTCTTGGCAGATTCAACTGTAAGACATTGGCGAATATGTCCAATGTTGCGGAGTGACATGAAACAGGTTTTGACAAGATGAGATACATGAGAAGTGCTAAGTGACAAGATTGAATCTAAGAACACGCCCAGGTCTTTGACTTGATCAGCAAAGTAGATACATGAATTGTCAAATTCCAGTGAGTTGACTCTACAGTTGGACCTCTGCTTCTTTGGACCAAGGAGAATGCACTCTGTCTTGTTGCTGTTGAGCTTAAGTTCGTTGTGGGTCATCCAGGATTTAACGTCATCACAGCAGTGACTCATGTCTGTTAGTGCGCTACATGACTGTTTTTGGTCTGCAGGAAAACACTTTTATAGCTGTGCGTCATCTGCGTATTGATGACGATCTATGTTGTGTTCAGCAATCACACTTCCAAACTTCTTAACATACAAAGTGAAGAGGACCGGCCCTAGGACCGATCCCTGTGGTAAACCATGTTTGAGATGGACTGGAGCAGAGTGATGTCCATCTATGAGCACAGTCTGACTGCGGGAGGTTAGGTAGGACTTGAACCAACAGAGAGTGGTGCCATCAATGTGAAAATCACACGTGAGACGATGAATGAGCATGTCGTGATCAATTGTATCAAAAGCAGAACATAAATCGAGGAGTGTTAAGATACCAATATTGCTGTTGTCCAAACCAAGTCGTAGATCATTTATGACTTTAACAAGAGCAGTCTCACTGCAGTGGTGAGCACGAAAGGCTGACTGAACATGGTCATACAAGTCATGTTGCTGGAGATGTTCTGACATCCTCACATTCACTGCTCGCTCAATGAGTTTTGAAACATACGAGAGGTTGGATACAAGTCTGTAATTACCAAGTACGTTGCAATCAAGGTTTGGCTTCTTCAGGAGATGTTTTAGTAGCGCAGATTTCGGGCAATTCACCGTGTTCAAGACTTGCGTTGATGATTCTGGTGAGTACTGGGAGAAGAACATTAAGATGGTCTAAAGGTACAGATGTAGGCAACGGGTCAAGAGAGCAAGATGTGGGGTTTGATCTCCTGATCAACATACGTACTTCAGCCTCACCAAAAGGTCTGAAATGTGTGAGAGTTGGTTCGTCGTTGTCACTGGAGTCTCGACAGTTTAGGGACACTCTGGAAACTCCAGGATCTTGTCTGGGGTCAGTGTCGCCAAAATGTGGCATGTTACTAGATCCCACCATTGAATGATGGATTTTGGCTATTTTATTTGTGAAAAATATTCAGGAAGACGTCTGGCGGCTCATCAGGAGGATGTGACGAGATGAGAGGTCGGGAGGAGTCTTTACCAAGAAGGCGGGACTTAAGCTGATGGAGCGACCGAGGAATGGGGTTATAAGGTTTGTGATAATGTGAGACAATGAGACGAAATGAGGCATGATACCAGGTATATTTGACATCGGTTTAATCTATCAGAGATATGTCAGTAGGACGTTTTGTTTGTTGTTTAGAATCGCTATATGGGGGCTACCTGTAAATAGTCTAATCTGGACCAGACAAACCAGTGATCAACATCATGAGCATCAATCTACGCAATTGGGATGCTATGACATGTGTCAACCAAATCAGGGAGCCGGAGCACCCGATCCCATTAGTCGTCTCTTACGACAAGCACGGGTAGCTGAAGACCAATTATAACCCAGATCTTCACAGGTATCATGCGTCCCTGAGTTGATAACACGTCTATGGACGTAAGTGCACCTTAGAAAGAGACTGCATCCACCTGTTCTTCTCTCCTTCGTTCTCAGCAGCAAACAGATACAACCGGTTACTGGCCTTGTTGGTGCTGATTTCAAATGCATATTGTTGTCTGAAACAAAAGTAGTAATTATTTATCTGCATACAATTTTCCTCCATTTGATTGCCAGAGTTGGACCCTGTACCTCGACAGTAGTGTTGTTTGACACTACAACGAGCAATATTCCTGCCTAAGCAGCACTCACAGCACTCACATGTCAAACCATAACAGAAATGACAGGCAACAACCAGTATTTGTAATTCATAATAACTTTAGTCCATTCTATGTATTTGACTAAATATACAACTAGGGACAAAACAAACAGTTTGTTATATCCGTCAATAGTCATTAGCATCTTCGTTATGTATAGGTTTTTTAATTCTACAAGCAACAACCCACTTTCAGGACAGAATGAAAGACAAAGAGCCGACTGACAGAGCCTAACCACGTCATATGCTTTGGTCAACTACTGCAACAAGAGTAGGCTACTGAAGATCTGCTTACTCTCTGATTTGTTTTAGAAACTGCTGTTACGTTTACAGAACCAGGCGAGCTGATATTTATTTGAGTGGCATTGTACAGCACGAACTGATCTGAGCAGCTTCATGTCTACACAAGGTAGAGCAGAATACCTACTTCTCCACACTAGTTTCTAGTATGCCGTGGATACACTTCTGGTCGATGCTGCCCTTGGCCGTTGTACTCTGTAACAGAACACCATCTCTCCATTCACAAACATGAAACACAAGGCGCATTTGTTCTGATCCTGACACCATGACACATCCTCTCGGAACGTACATTAATTGACTCACTAATACTTGAGTAACTGGCCACACGTGTGAGTTACGTCATGGAGTAAAGCCACATTGTCATCATGGGACCCTTTCATTTGGTAAATGGTCAACCTGAGCCAAATATTGATAAACACACTAAAAATACATAAATGTTCCACATCATAATCAAAGTAATTATAAAAAATATTGAAAATTTAGTAAAATATATTTATGGGTATGAGAAGATCACATGCTGATTCAAAACAAATTACAAAATATTTTGCAATTGGGTCAATATCAATGTGACTGACATGACAACCATCCTTGAATTTGAATTACATGAACAGTTTTAAAGGACACCCTTGTTGTCAAGACAAGATACAGCTCCATTAAATCTGCAGGCTTCAGGGCTTCAGCAAGATGCTAAAACTGGAAAAGCTAATGACAAGGCAAAAATAATAATGACATAATTGTAAGTAGGTAATAAATGAACGTACAGTTCAGGTGAAGGTTACATAGGAAAATCAGTTAACCTGTATTTTACAAAGGTAAGGAAAGAAGGATTAATTACAAATCAGTTAAATCCTCAAATATTTATAAATCCATATGAGACGTTGGAAAAGAAGAGAAAATTTGAATGCCTGTGTTACACAAGTTGATACGGAATGGATAAAGGTCAGAGAGTTCATGCCTGACAGACTGTGCCGGACATTCGGACTTGGAATTTCAAGACTAAGCTCTATACCTACATCAGTATGTACATCTGTGGTAAATGTACAGGACTTTTCAGAGTATATTGGATGAGGATGGGTTTTATCCACATGCAGGGAATCAATCAGGTGTTATCAACCGCATTCGTTGCCACTAAAACCTAGTTTCAATTCAAGCAAAAGGCATGAATCAATTGCAATGCATGGTCTGGAATTGACCATCTTATTCACTTCAATTGTCATCGCACAAGAAATCAAGAATTATGCAGTGTATATATACCACAAACTAAAATTATGGGAACACCCTAAAATTTGATAGTCATACATGAACTTAAACGTGATGACGTCATTTATACTCTAAGGTGAATTCAAGAAAACTGATTCAAGAAAACTGATTTTGACAAGTAAAGCAACCAAGTTTGCTAATGTAAGTGGAGTTACCTTCCATGGAAGAGTTGTCAGATCTCTGATTGAGGGGGCATTGAATAAGAGTAAAAGATCTGATGAGGTCTTAATGAGACAGAGAATTGCTACATTTGCACATGCTTAGATATGTTAAACCACTAGAGAAAGTTCTGTCCATTGTTCTTGGAAGTGTTTTATTTGCATAACTGACTAACTGCCCTAGGGCAATTATTTCTATTTAAAAACAATAAAATTGTACTCATTTTGATAATCTTCATCATGCCTAATACATTACACGCGTATTAAACAAGTATGCCCTCGTGGTGTAAGCCGTTTAATCACCCTCACCACGGTAGTTATTAAAATAAGCTCTGCGAGGGCTACATCCTCCCAGAGTTTATTTAAATAACTACCTTGTAAGGGTGATTAACCTATAATGAAACAAGGTCCAACTTCAGCTTTCACAAATCTCGCTGCACAGTGGAACAGAATCTCACCTTTTCTGTCAAGTAGTAGGTGAGAGATCCATGCTCTAACACACACCAACGCTTGTCAAAACCTACAAATAGACCACATGTGGTGTATCCAGCCAGGGTACATAACAAATCATGTGCCCATTCTAAGAAAAAGCATCATCAACAAGAGATTTCAGTCTTGGCAGAGTTTTAACTATAGTGAAAACATGCTGTATTTATTTTTATTTTAAAAAAATACCAACAGAAATAATTACTTTCATGATAAAATATTCTTTTTTTCAAACATGCCAGCCTGAAAATTCAGACAATTATACATTTTTTCCTGAACAGAACTTTGTATTTTTAACATAACACGTGGAATGTCCCCTTACTTGTGTGCTTGGGTCCCGTCTTATAGAGGTATCCCTGATGTCGGACATCTTCCCTCATTCGCCCCTGGCAACAGATGTTGTCAGTACTGAGACGCTCACAAATGTTGGAAAATGTTAACATAGCACATTATGTTTGCAAAATTATTACAAAGGTACATTATGTTTGCAAAAATATTATTGTGGGACATCATGTCTGGAAAAAGTTTAAGGTTGTGCATCATGGTGGTATGAATAAGTGGAAGAACAAAGGCAAATGTAGGAAATATGTCCGATATGCTGCTCACCTCATTGTTTTCAAACATGTCTGATGGTGAACCCGGGAAAAACAATCAATGTTTTTTAATAATCAAAATTACACAGCGACATCAAAGTTGATTATTCAGGTGCATGAACACTGGCTGTGAGCACTTTTGTCAAATGAATTGTTAAAAATATCAGAAATAACTGCCACATGTGATGATATATTTACTCTGTTCACCATAGTTTAAGGGGCCCTATTCAGGTACACGGCTACAAGATACAAGAAACTATTCGAGACAACTGTGGAATAGAAAATCTACGGCTGGTTGGTGGGCCGTTTCTGTGTCTGCTACTCGCCCGTTTCGGAAAGGAAAGACGATCGACAGGTAGAGTTTATGTTTCCCAAGACAAAGACAAATACAATGTAGTCCAACGTACACCAAGACAAAAAGTAGTCCAACACACAGAAAAGTGGTCCACGTGAGTCACTTTCGCTGCCTTCTCACAAGCTGCAAATAGTTTCTCCGTATCCCGCACTAGATCCGCCTGAATGTGCAGGGCCCTGGAACAAGGATACACACTACTTAAACATCGAGCACACACAACATCAGGTACCAAGCTGAAGGTCTTCATCAGACAATGATCACAGCCGGTAAACGCAATGCTTGTTAGGACATGTTTTCGTTCAAGTCCAGTATTTCCTTAATGCTGACAGGGCTTCATCAATACCCTTGCAACACAATGGCATCATGCATTAATATGAATAGCAGGAGTTGATTCTAGATCATAGGATCAGTTAACCTTCTAATTCAGTCTTGTTTCAGTGAAACAGAAAAACAAAAAGGCCACTGATTTCTGATTGGTTGTTAATAGAACAGGGAATGTTGCATTATTGTATTGGGTGATGTACTGAGTGATATGTGTGTGACAGTATCCCCTCATTTCCATGCTGATACAGTTTACTTTGGAGGCTGTACCTGAGCACAGGTGAAATGCTGATTTCTCACGTACTTGTTTGTGGCATTTATCACAAAATGTTGACCTGTCTCAGTACACTTTCTACATCCTCTGTCCATCTCCTGGTACTCTGTAACAGAACCATTCAACATCAGGACTCACACACCATTGCTATAATACAACTTACTGGCTTATTAACCTATGTAAACAGTTCTATTTAACTCAAGGTCGAATTTAACCAAACTACAAGCTGACATTTACGTATGATGAAAGTTTGAATTGATCAGACTCCACAAGAGTGTAGCTGTGAGCGTCCTTCACCAGCCATCCATGTCAGTGGATCTACCATCACATGGACTCTACTATGGTCCTACTTACTAATACTGATCGCTTTTCTCAAGTCCACCATCTCCAGCATCTGATCCTAGAAGACAACACAACAGGTAGTCAGTGTCTTAGTACCCTGTCATTACCATCATTACCTTCTATATGTTATCCCAGCAGACCAGTATCACAAAGTGGAATGTTGGAATATTACACATGTAACCTGTAAACTGCATCATTTCCACTGGTAAATCCTGCATTCACCAATATTCCAGTTATATGGCAGCGGTCTGTAAATAATCGAGTCTGGATCAGACAATCCAGTGATCAACAGCATAAGCATCGATTTGGATACCATGACATATATCAGGGAGCCGTTAGTCAGCGAGACGTTAGTCTCCTCTTACTACAAGCATAGGTTGCGGAAGATCAATTCTAACCCGGATCTTCACGGGTTCTCTATCTCGGCATGAGCCAATATACAAAACAACCGTTTATCATTAGCTCACCTGGTCCATGTAATACAGCAACCTCCAGCTCAGCATGAGCCAATATACACTACAACAGTTTATCATTAGCTCACCTGGTCCATGTAATACAGCATAATACAGCAACCTCCAGCTCAGCATGAGGCAATATACACCACAACAGTTTATCATTAGCTCACCTGGTCCATGTAATACAGCAACCTCCAGCTCAGCATGAGCCAATATACACTACAACAGTTTATCATTAGCTCACCTGGTCCATGTAATACAGCAACCTCCAGCTCAGCATGAGCCAATATACAAAACAACAGTTTATCATTAGCTCACCTGGTCCATGTAATACAGCAACCTCCAGCTCAGCATGAGCCAATATACACCACAACTGGTTTATCATTAGCTCACCTGGTCCATGTAATACAGCAACCTCCAGCTCAGCATGAGCCAATATACACTACAACAGTTTATCATTAGCTCACCTGGTCCATGTAGTACAGCAACCTCCAGCTCAGCATGAGCCAATATACACTACAACAGTTTATCATTAGCTCACCTGGTCCATGTAATACAGCAACCTCCAGCTCAGCATGAGCCAATATACACTACAACAGTTTATCATTAGCTCACCTGGTCCATGTAATACAGCAACCTCCAGCTCAGCATGAGCCAATATACACTACAACAGTTTATCATTAGCTCACCTGGTCCATATAGAACAGCAACCTCCAGCTCAGCATGAGCCATGACTTCCGCCAATCCTGAAAACACAAACATGGCATTACTGCATACCTGGGAACCAGCTGTCTGTCAGCTGTTTGTTGTTTTAGTTGCAGCAACTCATCAACTTCATTCGGCATTTAAACAAATTCAGGTCACAAAACTGTTGCAAACATCTTAAGCAGCATCCACTACCATACCGCCATTGTCGTCACATGAAACGAACATGACCTACACCATGGATGTTGCCAATATGTTGTCAATATTTTAATGATGATTATCAATGAACTAGTATCCTACTTTCTATATAGACTAGAATGAAACATGAACAATACCTCTGACAAATTATCTTTGACATAATAGTTTCCTCCAAGAGAGAATTCCATCATCCCAACGTGTTCCATTATGCTGAGTGGGCAGATTAGCTGAAAGGGCAAGATACACACTGTACAACATCCCCTTACCTAGAAAGGATATAATATATTCAGAGAGTTAAGTAAACCACTCGACAATGTCAAATGTTTGCTGTTAGAAGAGGGTCAGTGCTGTTATCACCCCCTGCTTCATGTTTAGTATCACCCATATCAATAACTTCTCAACCCACACAGGAGACCTATTCCACAAGTTGATGTCGTTTTGCAAGAACATTGTTTTCTCTAACACTTCTATATAATACCCCCATTCCACAGATATTTCTGGCTCATCGGTCACTCATCGGAAGCAAAGTAAATAGAAAACGTAGAGGAGGTACAAGAAGAGATTAGTCTGGATATGCAAAAGGTGGGGCAGATGCTAGAATCGGCCAAAACGTTTACCTACCTTTCGCAAGCCTACCACACATCAGTCAACTCACAGGCCGATGAGAAGAAAGCAATGCCCAAACCCGGGAACCCCTTCAACATGGAGTAGAAAGAAGTGTGTTTTCGTATATATGTTTGTATGTATGTTTGCATCTTTGTTTGTTTTTGGGACTAGCTATTGATAGGAGCTATACCCGCTTGGTCTTCTTCTTCTTGCGAATCTCTACGGGTGTCTGTGGGGAACACCATCTCGACTTCTCGATCATCTTTCCTTTCCGAAATGGGCGAGTAGCAGACTTTGCCAAGTCTACACAGAAAGGGCTCACCCACCAACCGTAGATTTTCTATTCCACTAGCATCTCAAATCATTCCTCGTATCTTGTAGCCAAAGACCGGAATCGTTTCTCCAGTCGGCATAGAGGGCAGCAGCAAAAGTCTGTTCTTCCCTTCGTATTTGGCTACGGCAAACCTTTTGCACGTATAGATTCCCTCTGGAACGTCTGCAGCGTTTCGGTGTTCGTTGGATGGAAGGGCTTCCATCGCCTTTTCTTGCTGCCAACACAGTGGTCTATGGCGCCATACTTGCAAGTAGAGTTGTCTGGTTCGAATAGGGTAGGTAGATCCGATATAGCAGCGAGGCAGTTGTTCATTGGTTGTGTCTGTCCATTGTTTCTGGGCTCGAAGAAGGTGTGTCCCGATTGCTCCAGGATTTGTTTCTCTTTGTTGGAAAACTAGAGATGGAGGCACTTCTTTAGCAGGGTCTCGAAGGCCTCTGCCATGTCAGAAGTTGTCTCTGTCCTTGCCTCTGTTTGTGTCTTGGGGTCTGTTTTGGAGCTGCCCCACATTCAGTATATTTGGCCTGGGATATGTGGTACTTCTTCGCCTCCCGAAGGGACAAATAACCCGATCGGATCTCAGCATAGGCTTCTTGCGATAGCTTGGTTCGTGTCATTGTTGTGTTCTATAAACGTACATCTGCACATCTCTAATTGGGGTGCAGTTCCCCCAGTGACATGTGTTGGACTACTATTTTGGAGTTGCACTGTAGTGGGCTGTGGAAACCGAATTGGAGACTTCTAGAGGTGGTGCACCTTCACAGGGACTACTCTTGTGTGTGTTGGACTACTTTTGTACTTCTCTTGCCGTAGGCTGCATGTTGCCGTATGCTGTTGTATTTAGCACCGCCCAATTGCTATCTGTTGTGACAACGAAGGGTAATCACTCATTAACTCAACTGCCATCCGCCGCATATCGCATAGCAAGTGGTGACATCTGACGGCCAATGGACTACAAAGGAGGGTCATCTGACATTCACTCTGCAGATTTTCATCAGACACTAAAGTATCAAGATCCTGAAGATGGGTCCAAGAAAGAACAGATATGTGCGAGGACAGAAAGCAAAGAAGTGACCTCCCATCACCCATCACCCATCAACAATCTCAAGTGCCAGAAGACTCCGCTATGCCTCTCCTCCTCCTGAAGATGCAGAGACGCAGGATAGGCCTATTCAGGCTCCCATCGCTGCTGAGCCCCACGGCTCTCCCTGCATTGCATCTTCTTGCATAGTTTGTTGCTGCAGCATAAATACAAAGCCAAGGGCTGCAGTCATATGAGGAAGTTGATCTATGACTAGTACCGTCAGGAGGTGCAGCCCGCTTTTATACACAACTGCCGATTTTGGCGACAAATCCGACCAGTATTGAGTCAGTGTCCGATTACCCTACGAATAGTACCCTACGATTTGTCAGATTGGTGTTCGGAGAGTGTTGGAAGTGTCAGATTAGTGTCAGGCCACCCTCGAATTACAATCCTAGTGCAGTCGGATCAGTCGGACGCCACCGGTGAATATGGCACTACCAGTCTTTCATTCGATTCACCCGATCAATGTTTGATCTCTATCGGCTTTTACGGGAAAAGGTGACCCCAAAAATGATGTCAAGTGAATTTTGATCAGAACTCAACGCGACGCTGAAATGTTCGCATTTATATATGTATGTTTGACATCGGTTTAATCTATCAGAGATATGTCAATAGGACATTTTCTTAGTTTTTTCGAATCGCTATATGGGGGCTACCTGTAAATAGTCTAATCTGGACCAGACAAACCAGTGATCAAGATCATGAGCATCAATCTACGCAGTTGGGATACTATGACATGTGTCAACCAAATCAGCGAGCCGGAGCACCCGATCCCGTTAATTGCCCCATACGTCAAGCAAGGGTAGCTGAAGACCAATTTTCACCCAGGTCTTTACAGGTATCATGCGTCCCTGAGTTGATAACACGTCTATGAACGTAAGTGTACCTTAGAAAGAGACTGCATCCACCTGTTCTTCTCTCCTTCGTTCTCAGCAGCAAACAGATACAACCGGTTACTGGCCTTGTTGGTGCTGATTTCAAATGCATATTGTTGTCTGAAACAAAAGTAGTAATTATTTATCTGCCTACAATTTTCCTCCATTTGATTGCCCGAGTTAGACCATGTACCTCGACAGTAGTGTTGTTTGAGACCGCAGTGAGCAATATTCCTGCCTTAGCTTGGTGGCCTGCGAATACCCAGCACTCACCTGTCAAACCACTACAGAAATGACAGGCAACAACCAGTATTTGTAATTCATAATAGCTTTACAACTAGGGACAAAACAAACAGTTTGTTATATCCGTCAATAGTCACTAGCATCTTCGTTATATATATATTTTTTCTTTATTCCACGAGCAACAACCCACTTTCAGGACAGAATGAAAGACAAAGAGCCGACTGACAGAGCCGAACCACGTCATATGCTTTGGTCAACTACTGCAACAAGAGTAGGCTACTGAAGATCTGCTTACTCTCTGATTTGTTTTAGAAACTGCTGTTACGTTTACAGAACCAGGCGAGCTGATATTTATTTGAGTGGCATTGTACAGCAAGAACTGATCTGAGCAGCTTCATGTCTACACAAGGTAGAGCAGAATACCTACGTCTCCACACTAGTTTCTTGTATCCCGTGGATACATAGCTGGTCGATGCTGCCCTTGGCCGTTGTACTCTGTAACAGAACATCATCTCTCCAATCTCAAACATGAATCAACAGAGCAAACAGATGAAGCACAAGGCTCTGTAGCACATCTTAGTTGTTCAGGTCCTGACAACGTAAGACATCCTCTCGGAACGTACATTTAATGACTCACTAATACTTGAGTAACTGGCCACATAAGTGAGTTAGGTTATGGGAGTAAAGTCACATTGTCATCATGGAGCCTTTCATAAGGTAAATGGTCAACCTGAGCCAAATATTGATAAACACACTAAAAATATATAAACATACGTCATAATCAAAGTAATATAAAAACAAGTATTGAAAATTTAGTAAAATATATTTATGGGTATGAGGAGATCACATGCTGATGCAAAACAAATTACAAAATGTTTCGAATTGGGGTCAATATCAATATGACTGACGTGACAACCATCCTTGAATTTGAATTATGTGAACAGTTTTAAAAGACACCCTTGTTGTCAAGACAAGATACAGCTCCATTAAATCTGCAGGCTTCAGGGCTTCAGCAAGATGTTAAGACTGGAAAAGCTAATGACAAGGCAAAAACAATAATGACATAATTGTAAGTAGGTAATAAATGAACGTACAGTTCAGGTGAAGGTTACATAGGAAAATCAGTTAACCTGTATTTTACAAAGGTAAGGAAAAAAGGATTAATTATAAATCAGTTAAATCCTCAAATATTTGGAAATGCATATGAGACGTTGGAAAAGAAGAGAAAATTTGAATACTTGTGTTACACAAGTTGATACGGAATGGATAAAGAAGGTCAGAGAGTTCATGCCTGACAGACTGTGCCGGACATTCGGACTTGGAATTTCAAGACTAAAGCTCTATACCTACATCAGTATGTACATCTGTGGTAAATGTACAGGTCTTTTCAGAGTATATTGGATGAGGATGGGTTTTATCCACATGCAGGGAATCAATCAGGTGTTATCAACCGCATTCGTTGCCACTAAAACCTAGTTTCAATTCAAGCAAAAAGCATGAATCAGTTGCAATGCATGGTCTGGGATTGACCATCTTATTCACTTCAATTGTCATCGCACAAGAAATCAAGAATTATGCAGTGTATATATACCACAAACTAAAATTATGGGAACACCCTAAAATTTGATAGTCATACATAAACTTAAACGTGGTGAGGTCATTTATACTCTAAGGTGAATTCAAGAAAACTGATTCAAGAAAACTGATATTTGACAAGTAAAGCAACCAAGTTTGCTAAGGTAAGTGGAGTTACCTTCCATGGAAGAGTTGTCAGATCTCTGATTGAGGGGGGAATTGAATAAGAGTAAAAGATCTGATGAGGTCTTAATGAGACAGAGAATTGCTACATTTTCACATGCTTAGATATGTTAAACCACTAGAGAAAGTTCTGTCCATTGTTCTTGGAAGTGTTTTATTTGCATAACTGACTAACTGCCCTAGGGCAATTATTGCTATTTAAAAACAATAAAATTGTACTCATTTTGATAATCTTCATCATGCCTAATACATTACACGCGTATTAAACTAGTATGCCCTCGTGGTGTAAGCCGTTTAATCACCCTCACCACGGTAGTTATTTAAATAAACACTGCGAGGGCTACATCCTCCCAGAGTTTATTTAAATAACTACCTTGTAAGGGTGATTAACCTATAATGAAACAAGGTCCAACTTCAGCTTTCACAAATCGTGCTGCACAGTGGAACAGAATCTCACCTGTTCTGTCAAGTAGTAGGTGAGAGCCCCATGCTCTAACACACACCAACGCTTGTCCAAAGCTACAAATACACCACATGTGATTTATCCAGCCAGGTTACATAACAAATCATGTGCCCATTCTAAGAAAAAGCATCATCAACAAGAGATTTCAGTCTTGGCAGAGTTTTAACTATAGTGAAAACATGCTGTATTTATTTTTATTTTAAAAAAATACCAACAGATATAATTACTTTCATGATAAGATATTCTTTTTTTCAAACATGCCAACCTGAAAATCAGACAATTGTACATATTTTATCTGAACAGAACTTTGTATTTTTAACATAACACGTGGAATGTCCCCTTACTTGTGTGCTTGGGTCCCGTCTTATAGAGGTATCCCTGATGTCGGACATCTTCCCTCATTCGCCCCTGGCAACAGATGTTGTCAGTACTGAGACGCTCACAAATGTTGGAAAATGTTAACATAGCACATCATGTTTGCAAAATTATTACAGAGGTAAATTATATTTGCAAAAAATAGTATGGAAAAGGAATCAATGTATTTCAATAATCAAAATTACACATCGACCTGAAAGTTGATTATCAAGGTCTATGACTGACTGACTGACTGACTGAGTTTAGTTTTACGCCGCTTTTAGCAATATTCCAGCAATATCACGGCGGGGGACACCAGAAATGGGCTTAACACATTGTGCCCATGTGGGGAATCGAACCCGGGTCTTCGGCGTGACGAGCCAACGCTTTAACCACTAGGCTACCCCACCGCCCTCAAGGTCTATGAACAGTCATGTACCATGATATATGTCAGGGAAGTCTGAACAAGTCACGAATGTTTACTCTGTTCACCATGGTTAAAGGGGCCTTATTCCGGTATACGGCTACAAAATACAAGAAACTATTCGAGATAACGATGGAATAGAAAATCTACGGTTAGTGGGTTTGCCGTTTCTGTGTAGGCTAGGCAAAGCCTGCTACTCGCCCGTTTCGGAAAGGAAAGACTATCCACACGTAGAGTTATGTTTCCCAAGACGAACACAAATACAAAGTAGTCAACCATACAGAACACAAAGTAGTCGAACATACAGAACACAAAAAGTAGTCAAACATACACGAAGACAAAAAGTAGTCCAACACACAGAAAAGTTGTCCAACTGACTTACTTTCATTGCCTTCTCACAAGCTGCAAATAGTTTCTCCGTGTCCCGCACTAGATCCGCCTGAATGTACAGGGCCCTGGAACAAGGACACACCCTACTTATACATCGAGCATGTACATCAGGTACCAAGCTGAAGGTCTTCATCAGACAATGATCACAACCGGTAAACGCAATGCTTGTTAGGACATGTTTTCGTTCAAGTCCTGTATTTCCTTAATGCTGACAGGGCTTCATCAATACCCTTGCAACACAATGGCATCATGCATTAATATGAATAGCAGGAGTTGATTCTAGATGATAGGATCAGTTAACCTTCTAATTCAGCCATGTTTCAATGAAACAGAAAAACAATTAGGCCACTGATTTCTGTTTGTTTGTTAATAGAACAGGGTGTTGCATTATTGTATTGGGTGATGCTACTGACAGTTGACAGGTGAGTGATATGTGTGACAGTATCCCCTCATTTCCATGCTGATACAGTTTACTTTGGAGGCTGTACCTGAGCACAGGTGAAATGCTGATTTCTCACGTACTTGTTTGGGGCATGTATCACAAAATGTTGACCTGTCTCAGTACACATTCTACATCCTCTGTCCATCTCCTGGTACTCTGTAACAGAACCATTCAACATCAGGACTCACACACCATTGCTATAATACAACTTACTGGCTTACATTCCTTATAAACATACTCCAGTGAGATAACTAATTAACCTATGTATACATTTCTATTCAACTCAAGGTGGAATTTAACCCAAATACAAGCTGACATTTACGTATGATGAAAGTTTGAATTGATTAGACTCCACAAGAGTGTAGCTGTGAGCGTCCTTCACCAGCCCATCATGTCAGTGGATCTACCATCACATGGACTCTACTATGGTCCTACTTACTAATACTGCTGGCTTTTGTCAAGTCCACTGTCTCCAGCTTCTGATTCTGGAAGACAACACAACAGGTAATCAGTGTCTTAGTGCCCTGTCATTCATAATAATAATAATAATAAGGGTACTTATATTGCACAATACTCCATACCACAAAGGGGCATGCTCAAAGCGCGCACAAATGTTTAAAAAACAAACACATCAAAAAGTCATATGAATCAGTATTGTAGTAAATATGAGCTTGGAGAGAGTTACTGTTTGTATCGACTGAAAAAGTGTGTTTTGAGGTTACGCTTGAACACTTGAAGGGATGGAGCTGTACGTAATTTAAGTGGAAGTGAGTTCCATAGTGCTGTTGCAACTGAAGCAAAAGAACGGGCACCAAATGTCTTGAGGTTGAATGATGGAGGATCCAGCAGGTGTTGGTTACTGGATCTGAGGGCACGAGCAGGAGTGTATGGTGTGAGAAGATCACACAAGTATGAGGGAGCCGTGGAGTTAACACACTGGTAAGCGAGAGTGAGTACCTTGAAATCAATTCTTTCATGGATCCGTAACCAGTGTAAGGAATCCAGAATGAACTGTACGTCACAGGACGGCTTAGAACGGCTAACAAGACGGGCAGCTTTATTTTGGAGAGATTGTAGGCGCTTTATCTGGGTTTTGGAGGCACGTGTAAGCAGACTGTTGCAATAGTCCAATCTTGACAGAATGAGGGAGCGAACAAGCAGAGCGGTGTTGTCTTGGGTCAGTTGGTGGCGAATGCTGGATATGTTACGGAGGTGATAGTGAATAGTTTTGCACAGCTGATTTATATGAGTTTCCATGGAGAGACTGCTATCCAATTTTTCACAACAGTGGAGAAAGGGATCGAAGAGTCCCCAATCTGAGGATGATGAAAGTGACACTTTTTCAACCTAGCAGGTGGACCAAACAGTATTGCCTCTGTTTTACTGTCGTTCATTTTCAGCATATTTGCTGTCATCCAGGACTTGACGTCACTGAGGCACAACTCCATGTTGTGTATGGTGGAGGCTTGGTTAGTCTCTGACAGATCCAATTTATCAAGCAATTGCGAATCATCAGCATAGAAGTGGCTAATGACCCGGTACTATGCTATAAGGTGACCCAAGGATTTGGTATACATCGTGAAGAGGACTGGTCCCAACACGGAACCCTGGGGTACGCCGCATTTGAGTACTGAGGGAGATGATTGGAGTTCACCAATTTGTACAGACTGAATCCTGTCAGACAAGTATGAGAGGCACCATTACTATCATCACCTTCTATAGAGTCAACACGTACAACACCTACAGGTAATCAGTGTCTTAGTGCCCTGTCATTACCATCATCACCTTCGATAGAGTCAACATGTACAACACCTACAGGTAATCAGTGTCTTAGTGCCCTGTCATTACCATCATCACCCTCTATAGAGTCAACATGTACAACACCTACAGGTAATCAGTGTCTTAGTGTCCTGTCATCACCATCATCACCTGCTATAGGGTCAACATGTACAACACCTACAGGTAATCAGTGTCTTAGTGCCCTGTCATCACCATCATCACCTGCTATAGGGTCAACATGTACAACACCTACAGGTAATCAGTGTCTTAGTGCCCTGTCATCACCATCATCACCTTCTATTGAGTCAACATCTACAAAACCTAAAGGCAGTTAGTGTGTTAGTGCCCTGTCATCACCATCATCACCTTCTATTGAGTCAAATTGTACAACACCTAAAGGCAATCAGTGTCTTAGTGCCCTGTCATTACCATCATCACCTTCTATAGAGTCAAATTGTAAAACACCTACAGGTAATCAGTGTCTTAGTGCACTGTCATTAGCAACATCACCTTTTATAGAGTCAACACGTACAACACCTACAGGTAATCAGTGTCTTAGTGCCCTGTCATCACCATCATCACCCTCTATAGAGTCAACATGTACAACACCTACAGGTAATCAGTGTCTTAGTGCCCTGTCATTACCGTCATCACCTTCTATAGAGTCAAATTGTACAACACCTACAGGTAATCAGTGTCTTAGTGCCCTGTCATTACCAACATCACCTTCTATAGAGTCAATATGTACAACACCTACAGGTAATCGGTGTCTTAGTGCCCTGTCAATACCATCATCACCTTCTATAGAGTCAACATGTACATCACCTGCAGGTAATCAGTGTCTTAGTGCCCTGTCATCACCATCATCACCTTCTATTGAGTCAACATGTACAAAACCTACAGGCAAATCCGTGTCTTAGTGCCCTGTCATTACCATCATCACCTTCTATAGAGTCAAATTGTACAACACCTACAGGTAATCAGTGTCTTAGTGCCCTGTCATGACCATCATCACCTTCTATTGAGTCAACATGTACAAAACCTACAGGCAATCCGTGTCTTAGTGCCCTGTCATTACCATCATCACCTTCTATAGAGTCAAATTGTACAACACCTACAGGTAATCAGTGTCTTAGTTCCCCTGTCATTACCATCATCACTTTCCATAGAGTCAACATGTACAACACCTACAGGTAATCAGTGTCTTAGTGCCCTGTCATTACCATCATCACCCTCTATAGAGTCAACATGTACAACACATACAGGTCATCAGTGTCTTAGTGTCCTGTCATCACCATCATCACCTTCTATAGGGTCAACATGTACAACACCTACAGGTCATCAGTGTCTTAGTGCCCTGTCATCACCATCATCACCTTCTATTGAGTCAACATGTACAAAACCTAAAGGCAGTTAGTGTGTTAGTGCCCTGTCATCACCATCATCACCTTCTATTGAGTCAACATGTACAAAACCTAAAGGCAATCCGTGTCTTAGTGCCCTGTCATTACCATCATCACCTTCTATAGAGTCAAATTGTACAACACCTACAGGTAATCAGTGTCTTAGTGCCCTGTCATTAGCAACATCACCTTTTATAGAGTCAACACGTACAACACCTACAGGTAATCAGTGTCTTAGTGCCCTGTCATCACCATCATCACCCTCTATAGAGTCAACATGTACAACACCTACAGGTAATCAGTGTCTTAGTGCCCTGTCATTACCGTCATCACCTTCTATAGAGTCAAATTGTACAACACCTACAGGTAATCAGTGTCTTAGTGCCCTGTCATTACCAACATCACCTTCTATAGAGTCAACATGTACAACACCTACAGGTGATCGGTGTCTTAGTGCCCTGTCAATACCATCATCACCTTCTATAGAGTCAACATGTACATCACCTACAGGTAATCAGTGTCTTAGTGCCCTGTCATCACCATCATCACCTTCTATTGAGTCAACATGTACAAAACCTAAAGGCAATCCGTGTCTTAGTGCCCTGTCATTACCATCATCACCTTCTATAGAGTCAAATTGTACAACACCTACAGGTAATCAGTGACTTAGTGCCCTGTCATGACCATCATCACCTTCTATTGAGTCAACATGTACAAAACCTACAGGCAATCCGTGTCTTAGTGCCCTGTCATTACCATCATCACCTTCTATAGAGTCAAATTGTACAACACCTACAGGTAATCAGTGTCTTAGTTCCCTGTCATTACCATCATCACCTTCCATAGAGTCAACATGTACAACACCTACAAGTAATCAGTGTCTTAGTGCCCTGTCATTACCATCATCACCCTCTATAGAGTCAACATGTACAACACATACAGGTCATCAGTGTCTTAGTGTCCTGTCATCACCATCATCACCTTCTATAGGGTCAACATGTACAACACCTACAGGTCATCAGTATCTTAGTGCCCTGTCATCACCATCATCACCTTCTATTGAGTCAACATGTACAAAACCTAAAGGCAGTTAGTGTGTTAGTGCCCTGTCATCACCATCATCACCTTCTATTGAGTCAACATGTACAAAACCTAAAGGCAATCCGTGTCTTAGTGCCCTGTCATTACCATCATCACCTTCTATAGAGTCAAATTGTAAAACACCTACAGGTAATCAGTGACTTAGTGCCCTGTCATTGGCAACATCACCTTTTATCGAGTCAACACGTACAACACCTACAGGTGATCAGTGTCTTAGTGCCCTGTCATCACCATCATCACCCTCTATAGAGTCAACATGTACAGCACCTACAGGTAATCAGTGTCTTAGTGACCTGTCATTACCATCATCACCTTCTATAGAGTCAAATTGTAAAACACCTACAGGTAATCAGTGTCTTAGTGCACTGTCATTAGCAACATCACCTTTTATAGAGTCAACACGTACAACACCTACAGGTAATCAGTGTCTTAGTGCCCTGTCATCACCATCATCACCCTCTATAGAGTCAACATGTACAACACCTACAGGTAATCAGTGTCTTAGTGCCCTGTCATTACCGTCATCACCTTCTATAGAGTCAAATTGTACAACACCTACAGGTAATCAGTGTCTTAGTGCCCTGTCATTACCAACATCACCTTCTATAGAGTCAACATGTACAACACCTACAGGTAATCGGTGTCTTAGTGCCCTGTCAATACCATCATCACCTTCTATAGAGTCAACATGTACATCACCTACAGGTAATCAGTGTCTTAGTGCCCTGTCATCACCATCATCACCTTCTATTGAGTCAACATGTACATAACCTACAGGCAATCCGTGTCTTAGTGCCCTGTCATTACCATCATCACCTTCTATAGAGTCAAATTGTACAACACCTACAGGTAATCAGTGTCTTAGTGCCCTGTCATCACCATCATCACCTTCTATTGAGTCAACATGTACAAAACCTACAGGCAATCCGTGTCTTAGTGCCCTGTCATTACCATCATCACCTTCTATAGAGTCAAATTGTACAACACCTACAGGTAATCAGTGTCTTAGTTCCCTGTCATTACCATCATCACCTTCCATAGAGTCAACATGTACAACACCTACAGGTAATCAGTGTCTTAGTGCCCTGTCATTACCATCATCACCCTCTATAGAGTCAACATGTACAACACATACAGGTCATCAGTGTCTTAGTGTCCTGTCATCACCATCATCACCTTCTATAGGGTCAACATGTACAACACCTACAGGTCATCAGTGTCTTAGTGCCCTGTCATCACCATCATCACCTTCTATTGAGTCAACATGTACAAAACCTAAAGGCAGTTAGTGTGTTAGTGCCCTGTCATCACCATCATCACCTTCTATTGAGTCAACATGTACAAAACCTAAAGGCAATCCGTGTCTTAGTGCCCTGTCATTACCATCATCACCTTCTATAGAGTCAAATTGTACAACACCTACAGGTAATCAGTGTCTTAGTGCCCTGTCATTAGCAACATCACCTTTTATAGAGTCAACACGTACAACACCTACAGGTGATCAGTGTCTTAGTGCCCTGTCATCACCATCATCACCCTCTATAGAGTCAACATGTACAACACCTACAGGTAATCAGTGTCTTAGTGCCCTGTCATTACCGTCATCACCTTCTATAGAGTCAAATTGTACAACACCTACAGGTAATCAGTGTCTTAGTGCCCTGTCATTACCAACATCACCTTCTATAGAGTCAACACGTACAACACCTACAGGTGATCGGTGTCTTAATGCCCTGTCAATACCATCATCACCTTCTATAGAGTCAACATGTACATCACCTACAGGTAATCAGTGTCTTAGTGCCCTGTCATCACCATCATCACCTTCTATTGAGTCAACATGTACAAAACCTAAAGGCAATCCGTGTCTTAGTGCCCTGTCATTACCATCATCACCTTCTATAGAGTCAAATTGTACAACACCTACAGGTAATCAGTGACTTAGTGCCCTGTCATGACCATCATCACCTTCTATTGAGTCAACATGTACAAAACCTACAGGCAATCCGTGTCTTAGTGCCCTGTCATTACCATCATCACCTTCTATAGAGTCAAATTGTACAACACCTACAGGTAATCAGTGTCTTAGTTCCCTGTCATTACCATCATCACCTTCCATAGAGTCAACATGTACAACACCTACAAGTAATCAGTGTCTTAGTGCCCTGTCATTACCATCATCACCCTCTATAGAGTCAACATGTACAACACATACAGGTCATCAGTGTCTTAGTGTCCTGTCATCACCATCATCACCTTCTATAGGGTCAACATGTACAACACCTACAGGTCATCAGTATCTTAGTGCCCTGTCATCACCATCATCACCTTCTATTGAGTCAACATGTACAAAACCTAAAGGCAGTTAGTGTGTTAGTGCCCTGTCATCACCATCATCACCTTCTATTGAGTCAACATGTACAAAACCTAAAGGCAATCTGTGTCTTAGTGCCCTGTCATTACCATCATCACCTTCTATAGAGTCAAATTGTAAAACACCTACAGGTAATCAGTGACTTAGTGCCCTGTCATTAGCAACATCACCTTTTATCGAGTCAACACGTACAACACCTACAGGTGATCAGTGTCTTAGTGCCCTGTCATCACCATCATCACCCTCTATAGAGTCAACATGTACAACACCTACAGGTAATCAGTGTCTTAGTGCCCTGTCATTACCATCATCACCTTCTATAGAGTCAAATTGTACAACACCTACGGGTACTCAGTGTCTTAGTGTCCTGTCATTACCAACATCACCTTCTATAGAGTCAACATGTACAACACCTACAGGTAATCGGTGTCTTAGTGCCCTGTCAATACCATCATCACCTTCTATAGAGTCAACATGTACATCACCTACAGGTAATCAGTGTCTTAGTGCCCTGTCATCACCATCATCACCTTCTATTGAGTCAACATGTACAGAACCTACAGGCAATCCGTGTCTTAGTGCCCTGTCATTACCATCATCACCTTCTATAGAGTCAAATTGTACAACACCTACAGGTAATCAGTGTCTTAGTGCCCTGTCATTAGCAACATCACCTTTTATCGAGTCAACACGTACAACACCTACAGGTGATCAGTGTCTTAGTGCCCTGTCATCACCATCATCACCCTCTATAGAGTCAACATGTACAACACCTACAGGTAATCAGTGTCTTAGTGCCCTGTCATTACCATCATCACCTTCTATAGAGTCAAATTGTACAACACCTACAGGTAATCAGTGTCTCAGTGCCCTGTCATTACCAACATCACCTTCTATAGAGTCAACATGTACAACACCTACAGGTAATCAGTGTCTTAGTGCCCTGTCAATACCATCATCACCTTCTATAGAGTCAACATGTACAACACCTACAGGTAATCAGTGTCTTAGTGCCCTGTCATGACCATCATCACCTTCTATTGAGTCAACATGTACAAAACCTACAGGCAATCAGTGTCTTAGTGCCCTGTCATTACCATCATCACCTTCTATAGAGTCAAATTGTACAACACCTACAGGTAATCAGTGTCTTAGTGACCTGTCATTACCAACATCACCTTTTATAGAGTCAACATGTACAACACCTACAGGTAATCAGTGTCTTAGTGCCCTGTCATTACCATCATCACCTTCTATAGAGTCAACATGTACAACACCTACAAGTAATCAGTGTCTTAGTGACCTGTCATTACCATCATCACCTTCTATAGAGTCAACATGTACAACACCTACAGGTCATCAGTGTCTTAGTGCCCTGTCATGACCATCATCACCTTCTATAGAGTCAACATGTACAATACCTACAAGTAATCAGTGTCTTAGTGACCTTTCATCACCATCATCACCTTCTGTAGAGTCAACATGTACAACACCTACAGGTGAGATCATAGGCAGACATAAAGTTGAATGATGGAATATAACACATGTAACCTGTAAACTGCAGATCAGGGAATTATTTACATTAATGCTGCATTCACCAATATTCCAGTTATATGGCAGCCGTCTGTAAATAATCCAGTCTGGATCAGACAATCCAGAGATCAACAGCATGAGCATAGATTTGGATACCATGACAGTTATCAGCTAAGTCAGCGAGCCGTTAGTCTCCTCTTACGACAAGCATTGCTGACGATCGATTCTAACCACGGGTTCTCTATCTCAACATGAGCCAATGCACACAATAACAGGTTATCATTAGCTCACCTGGTCCATGTAATACAGCAACCTCCAGCTCAGCATGAGCCAATATACACTACAACAGTTTATCATTAGCTCACCTGGTACATGTAATACAGCAACCTCCAGCTCAGCATGAGCCAATATACAAAACAACAGTTAATCATTAGCTCACCTGGTACACGTTATACAGCAACCTCCAGCTCAGCATGAGCCAATATACACTACAACAGTTTATCATTAGCTCACCTGGTCCATGTAATACAGCAACCTCCAGCACAGCATGGGCCAATATACAAAACAACAGTTTATCATTAGCTCACCTGGTCCATGTAATACAGCAACTTCCAACTCAGCATGAGCCATGACTTCCGCCAGTCCTGAAAACACAAACATGGCATTACTGCATACCTGGGAACCAGCTGTCTGTCAGCTGTTTATTATTTTAGTTGCAGCAACTTATCAACTTCATTCGGCATTTAAACAATTTCAGGTCACAAAACTGTTGCAAACATCTTAAGCAGCATCCACTACCATATCGCCATTGTCGTAACATGACACGAACATGACCTACACCATGGATGTTGCCAATATATTGTCAATATTTTAATGATGATTATCAATGAACTAGTATCCTACTTTCTATAAAGACTAGAATGAAACGTGAACAATACCTCTGAAAAATTGTCTTTGACATAATAATTTCCTCCAAGAGAGAATTCCATCATCGCAACATCCTTCATTATGCTGCCCGGGCAGATTAGCTGAAAGGGCAAGATACACACTGTACAACATCCCCTTACCTCGAAAGAATTATAGCACTTGTTGGAAATGTTGACAATGGTTACGTATTAGAGTGCAATGATAAAATGTGTAGTGAATTACTGTAGTAACAAGCTGCATGAGACAAAAGGGTTGATTGAATGATGCTCATCTCGACCATGGTTCAACTGAAACATCTCCAGGGTACAGAGAGTTAACTAAACCACTCGACTATGTCAAATGCTGCTATTAGAAGAGGTTCAGTGCTGTTATCACCCCCTGCTTCATGTTTAGTATCACCCATATCAATAACTTCTCAACCCACACAGGAGACCTATTCCACAAGTTGATGTCGTTTTGCAAGAACATTGTTTTCTCTCACACTTCTATATAATACCCCCATTCCACAGAGATTTGTTACGACGTGAGACAATGAGACGAAATGAGGCTTGACACCAGGTATGTTCGACATCAGTTTAATCTGTCAGAGATATGTCAGTAGGACATTTTGTTTGTCGTTTCGAATCGCTATATGGGCGCTACCTGTAAATAGTCTAGTCTGGACCAGACAAACCTGTGATCAACATCATGAGCATCAATCAACGCAATTGGGATGCTATGACATGTGTCAACCAAATCAGCGAGCCGGAGCACCCGAACCCGTTAGGTGCCTCTTACGACAAGTACGGGTAGCTGAAGACCAATTATAACCCAGATCTTCACAGGTATCATGCGTCCCTGAGTTGATAACACGTCTGTGGACGTAAGTGTACCTTAGAAAGAGACTGCATCCACCTGTTCTTCTCTCCTTCGTTCTCAGCAGCAAACAGATACAACCGGTTACTGGCCTTGTTGGTGCTGATTTCAAATGCATATTGTTGTCTGAAACAAAAGTGGTCATTAATTATCTGCATACAATTTTTCTCCATTTGATCGCCCGAGTTGGACCCTGTACCTCGACAGTAGTGTTGTTTGACACTACAACGAGCAATATTCCTGCCTTAGCTTGGTGGCCTGCGAATAACTAGCACTCACCTGTCAAACTATAACAGAAATGACAGGCAACAACCAGTATTTGTAATTCATAATAACTTTAGTTCATTACATGTATTTGACTAAATATACAACTAGGGACAAAACAAACAGTTTGTTATATCCGTCAATAGTCATTAGCATCTTTGGTATAGATTTATATTGTTTTGGTTTTATTCCACGAGCAACAACCCAGTTTCAGGACAGAATGGAAGACAAAGAGCCGACTGACAGAGCCGAACCACGTGATATATTTTGGCCAACTACTGCAACATCTGCTTACTCTCTGATTTTTTTACACACTGCTGCTAGGTTTACGAGCCAGCCGAGCTGATATTTATTTGAGTGAAACTACTGCAAGAACTTATCTGAACAGCTTCATGTCTACACAAGGTAGAGAAGAATACCTACTTCTCCACACTAGTTTCTTGTATGCCGTGGACACACTGCCGGTTGATGCTGCCCTTGCCCGTCGTACTCTGTAACAGAACACCATCTCTCCTTTCACAAACATGAAACACAAACCACTATTTTCTTGAATAGATGAAGCACAAGGCTCTGTAGCACATCTCAGTTGTTCAGGTCCTGACAACGTAAGACATCCTCTCGGAACGTACATTAAATGACTCACTAATACTTGAGTAACTGGCCACATAAGTGAGTTAGGTTATGGGAGTAAAGTCACATTGTCATCATGGAGCCTTTCATAAGGTAAATGGTCAACCTGAGCCAAATATTGATAAACACACTAAAAATATATAAACATACGTCATAAACATAAAAAAAATATTTATGGGTATGAGAAGATCACATGCTGATGCTAAATAAATTACAAAATGTTTCGAATTGGGGTCAATATCAAAATGATTGACATGACAACCATTCTTGAATTTGAATTCTACCATGACTTCAGTAAATACTGGGTTGTCATTGGTTAACAAAGTCATTCAGAGGTACATAATCACGTTATATACATCTGATTTTCCAATACAGTATGCAGTTTTTTTAATCTTAATAATTCGGTTATGGTAGACTGGAGATTCCTCTGATATCTCTCTGTTTATCTCCTAATTATGTGAACAGTTTTAAAGGACACACTTGTTGTCAAGACAAGATACAGCTCCATTAAATCTGCAGGCTTAACTTAAGCAAGATGCTAAAACTAATGACAAGGCAAAAAATGTATGACATGATTGTAAGTAGAAAATACATGAATAATAGATAAAAAATCAGTTAACCTATATTTTACAAAGGTAAGCAAAGAAGGATTAATTATAAATCAGTTAAATCCTCAAATTGTTTGAAATTCATATAAAAAGTTGGAAAAGAAGAGATTTGAATACCCGTGTTACACAAGCTGACACGGAATGGATAAAGAAGGTTAGAGAGTTCATGCCTAACAGACTGTCCCTCGAAGAAGTAATTCGGACTGAGAATTCCAAAACTAAGCTCTATACCTACATCAGTATGTACATCTGTGGTAAATGTACAGGACTTTTCAGAGTATATTGGATGAGGATGGGATTTATCCACATGCAGGGAATCAACGAGGTGTTATCAACAGCATTCGTTGCCACTAAAACTTAGTTTGAAGTCAAGCTAAAAGCGTGAATCAATTGCAATGCGTATAGGATTGACCATCTTATTCGCTTCAATTGTCATCACAGAAGAAATCGGGAATTGTGCAGTGTAAATATACTACCCAAAAAAATTATGGGAACACTCTTAACTTTGATAGTCATATATAAACTTAAACGTGAAGAGGTCATTTATACTCTTAGGTAAATACAACTTTTTGGGTGCTTAATTGGCACTTCAAACGACATGTTAGAACATGCAGTGAAGCAACTGATTCAATGTTCGTTGAGTTTGAGTGAAATGATTCATTGTCAAAAACAGCAGAAAAACAAGGGTGCTGAAACACACGACACACAAGGCATCCACTGTGTAGAGACACACGACACACAGGGCATCCACTGTGTAGAGACACACGACACACAGGGCATCCACTGTGTAGAGACACGCGACACACAGGGCATCCACTGTGTAGAGACACGCGACACACAGGGCATCCACTGTGTAGAGACACGCGACACACAGGGAATCCTCTGTGTGGAGACACACGACACACAAGGCATCCACTGTGTGGAGACACACGACACACAAGGCATCCACTGTGTAGAGACACGCGACACACAGGGCATCCACTGTGTGGAGACACACGATACTCAGGGTATCCACTGTGGGGAGACCCACGACACACAAGGAATCCTCTGTGTAGAGACACACGACACACAGGGCATCCACTGTGTAGAGACACACGACACACAGGGCATCCTCTGTGTAGAGACCCACGACACACAAGGAATCCTCTGTGTAGAGACACAATGCCGCAAGACACATTGCTCGGTGACATATTGTTGTAGCACGAAGACACGTCACATTGTCAGGGTACACCAGACACTGATACTGGCCACTGACCCCCTACTGTCCAACTTCAGGACTGGCATGGGATACTGGTAACCTATAAAACTTACAGGACACCTTAGAGAATGGATCTGGGCCTTCACGGACCAAGCCACCACTATGGCCAGCCATTGAGGAACCTAGCATGTAACGTTCCTCAAGCTGGATGCAAACAACTTTATAAAGAATATAACATGAGAAGAGAAACAAGCAGAGAAGTGAAGTGGAAAATGCATTCATGCAATCGTCAGAAGACTGTCATGAAATCAGAAAGACCGAACAGCGCTGGCATGGAACTGGCAATCTGAATGAAATCTTTTACCCCATATTTCAATCCCTTCTTTAATCAAAATCAAATATTCATCAGTTGGTCACATCAGACACACCTTCCTAAATCTGAAAAATGAATGTAAACAGGCAGTTTCAAATGGAGAATAATGGTTGCTAACTAATGTTGATACCCAACAAAGTTCTGTGTCTTGCCATCAGTATCGAGAAGGGTGACGGTGCAAGAGGTTATATAGAGGGTGTATTGTGTGGGTTTTCGGTCGTTCTGACTACAATTTCGTAATCCAGGACATATATTGTGAAACAAGATACCAGGCTAAATCTGCAACTGACTCTGTATGGATCGTATTTACCAAAGTATGCCGGATAATTCCAGAAAACTCGTATCTGACAAGTAAACCAATCAAGTTTGCTCAGAACTCAAGTGGAGTTACCTTCCAAGGAGGAGTTGTCAGATCTCTGATTGAGGGGCATTGAATAAGAGTAAAAGATCTGATTAGATCTGAATGAGACAGAGAATTGCTACATTTTCACAAATCTTGCTGCACAGTGGAACAGAATCTCACCTTTTCTGTCAAGTAGTAGGTGAGAGATCCATGCTCTAAGACACACCAACGCTTGTCAAAACCTACAAATAGACCACATGTGGTGTATCCAGCCAGGGTACATAACAAATCATGTGTCCATTCTAAGAAAAAGCATCATCAACAGAGATTGACAGAGTGATAAACTATAGTGAAAACATGCTGTATTTATTTTCATTTTTTTAAAATAACAACACAAATAATTACTTTCATGGTAAGATATACTTTTTTAAACATACGTTGAAATGCCAACCTGAAAATTCAGACAATTATACATATTTTTCGAGAATAATAATAATAATAATAATAATAACTAGGATTGCCTCCTGGGCACTACTGACGGTCTTCAGATTTCCCCATAGACTCCCCGTGGCTGCCTTTACTTGTACTGTTTCTTTGGACGCCAGCTGGAGGGTCCATTTTAACTCTCGGAGGTACGGGTGTTTGAAGTGTATTTAAGGGCTAGAAACCGCCCAAAACGCAGCCAGAACACGTTTTTGACACGAGAGCAGATCGGTGAAATGCAGCCGGGTTCGCGGGGTCATGTACCTTCTAAGATTTTCTGGAGGAGCAATAGTTCCCTCTTTGACAGGCCGTAGCTCCGTTGTCCTTGGGTCTACGGTCAAAACGATTAGTGTTCTGGAATCGTCATGATCCTAGCTATCCTAGCACTTGTGAAACAACCATAGATTTAGGTGTATATAGTGCATTTGTTAAACACCCATTCAAAAATTACTGTGGTGCGGTTAAAGGCCGGGGTTCAAACCTATACACAGATAGGGTGTGGCCTCCATGCCTTTTGCCGAAAGCAATGCAGTATTCAAGAACATTCCATGAAATATCACACACTTGACTTACCGGTTCAGGCTGATATTAAGTCATAGTATAAAGAAATATGTTATGAAGACTCACAGCAAAAAGTATGAATGCAGAGAGTCTACAAAACATACATTTTGAAAATATATTCTCATTGTTAAATCCACATTTGAATTTTCCATTGTGTCAGTCAGGTGGCAAGAGGAGGTATGTTTCCATAGAAACAAGCCTTGGAGTGGGGGAAATGTTTCATTAAGGGTTTCATATTTCAGGCAGGCTGGGAAATGCCCCCCTCTTCTACTCCCCTGACACCATGCTGTGCAGGGCTAGGGTTGTACACTTATCTGATGCTGACATCTCTTTGCTGAAGATTGTATATTCAGAATATAAGTAAAATTTGATGATTCATATATGCTAATCAAACTAATCTCTTTAGTCATCAAAATATGTACTGAAAGGGTTGTTGGACATTTGCTATAAGACACATGTTTATTCTAGTAGTAAATTCTAAGGTTAACCTTTGACATCGCCAGGCTCTTGCCAGGCACCCATAGCCGTTACAGTCTTGTCACTCACGGGCTGACAACATCTTGCCTGCTGGGGAGTAGCAAATGGGCGACTATTTGGAAACCCACGGGGGTTTTAGAGGTTTTAAAGATGATTTGAAAGTACGACTGCCATGGCCGCAGTTTTGTGTGTAAAGTTTTATTCTGTTTTAAATGTATAAAATATTGTGCGTTTATGTGCTGGATTCCTGCAATCATGATGATGTAGCAGAAAGGGTTTGCACGGCCCTGGCACAGTCAGGCTGATAAACAAACTGCTGGAGTCCCAGTTGTTACTTAAAGCGCATTGCTCTTTGGGCATTGGAAAACCAGGAAGTGGTGAAAGCTGCTAGATTTTACAGACGCTTCCTTCAGCTATCTCACCACTGACAAAATGCGAAAACATTTTGGAAGCGTCTGTAAAATCTAGCAACAATCACCACTTCCTGGTTTTCCAATGCCCAAGGAAATAGTTCCCTCTTTAACAGGCCGTAGCTCCGTTCTATTTGTGAAGTAATTGTGGCGTAATTATTGACTTTTACATAACAATAATGAGAAGCAAAAATGTTCTCCATTCAATTATCTACAGTTTGGTAAATGAAATCCATTGTGTTGTCGTAGAGCCATTTTATGAACACTATAAAAATGCGTTTTGCCAAAATTGACCAACTTCCAAGGGCAATAACTCCGACACTATTCAAGATATCGACATGCATTGAACAAACTAAGTAGTCCGGAGTGTGGGCTTTAAAACAGATAGATAATTTGGAAAATGGAATTCATTGTGTTTTTGCAGAGTTGTGACATTTTTTTTAACCCTATGAAAATGCGTCTTAGTAAAAATCCACCAACTTCCAAGGGCGATAACTCCAAAAACATTTAAGATATCGATATTCCGTGCGCAATTTGTGTAGTCGGGAGTGTGGGCTTTCCAACGGCGTATCGAACGCGATTGTACTATTTGCCGTTCTGGAGAAAACGATTTTCAAACACAGGCACCGTCAAAACGTGAAAATCGGCGACAAATTAAGTTTTTTTCAAGATTGCGGAAAATTTCTTCTGCTGCCCGACTTAATGTATGCATTGAATCAATAGAGGATGATGATGTCTATATCGAGTGAAAATTTGGTAAATTTTACCCTTCTAGTTTTGGAGATATTGGGGTTCAAAGATTTTTACGTTTTGGGTTATCTGCCCTTACCGGAGGCCGGAAGTCGGAATTGTTTCCACTCTGTATCAATTTCAGCATACAGGCTATCATCCCTGAAAGTTTCATGAAAATCGACCCTGAGGTTAGGTCAGGAGAGCTGGTACAAAAAACGTACAAATAATAATTATAGCAGAAGAAGAATATTCGGATAAGAACAGTAGGTCTTCCAGACATTCGTCTGAAGACCCAATAATAATGTATTTATAAAGCGCCTAATATCCACCATAGAGATGCTCAGTGGCGCGGTGACAGTATTGGTGAAGGAAATAGTTCATATAACTTTTTAGAAAGGCAGCAGTGAATAGATTGGTCTTTAGCAGAGATTTAACAGTTTCTTTCGATGAAGTGTTCCTCATTTCCTTTGGAAGACAGTTCCACAGTTTAGGGCTGGCACAGGAGAAGGCTCGGTCAGACAGTTGGTTTGGAGATCTGTGTTGGGTTAGGAGAGAGCCAGAGGAGGATCGGAGACTTTGCTGAGGTACATACGCAGAGATGAGATGTTTGAGATAGTCAGGAAAGTTATCATTGTAGAGGCAGTCATGAGTCAGAATGAGGATTTTGAAGGTAATTCTTGCAGAGATGGGGAGCCAGTGCAGAGACTGTAGTACTGGGGTTATGTGGTCATGACGATGACCATGTTACCTTCCTTTATGTGTGAACATATATGAACCATTATGAGCATATATTCATATATTTACATTATGAACAGAACGTTGTATTGTTAACATAACTCATGGAATGTCCACTTACTCTTGTGACTGGGTCCCGTCTTATAGAGGTATCCCTGTTGTCGGACATCTTCCCTCAGTCGCCCCTGGCAACAGATGTTGTCAGTACTGAGACGCTCACAAATGTTGGAAAATGTTAACATAGCACATTATGTTTGCAAAATTATTACCGAGGTAAATTATATTTGCAAAACTATACTGAGAGAAATAAATAAAGAATCACAGGAAAATTCAAGCGTTCCTTGATTATACTCCAGTTTTCATCACCACAGCGCTATTCAAAGCTGGTGATGAAAACTGGAAAATATTAAAGGAAGGCTTGAATTTTCCTGTGATCCTTTATTTGTTTCTCTCAGTATATTATTGAGGGACATCATGTTTGGAAAGATTTTAAGGTGGTTCATCATGGTGGTATGAATAAGTGGAAGAACAAAGGCAAATGTAGGAAATTACGGAAGCCTATTAGGGCCACTATACGCTATTACTCATTATCTTTATGTTGAACATTCAACTTGCTATCTTGAAAATTCAACTTGCTATCTTGAAAATTCAACTTAGTATCTGTTGCAAAATGAACAAAGCCTCTTCCAAGATACCTTTTCTCTTGTGACGTTGGGCTACATAAAAATCCTATAATTCTTGCCAGACAGAAGTAACCCAATCCTAACGCTACTACAAAAACATACAGAGATGACATTGTCTCTGCTCTACTCCATTGTCATCGGCCACAGTTCGTGTACAGAGAATTTGGAAATGCGCATAATGAACGAAAGACATTTCATTTAAGTACTAATTTTCTTGAATTTTCAAGATACTAAGTTGAATTTTCAAGATACTTACTTGAATGTTCAACAAAGTTAAGTTGAATTTTTAAGATAGTAAGTTGAATTTTCAAGAGAGGATGCTGAATTTTCACGATGCTAAGTTGAAATTTCAGGATACTAAGTTGAATTTTCAAGAAAGAATGTTGAATTTTCAAGATAGCAAGTTGAATTTTCAACATAAAAGATGCTGAATAATAGCATAGCGTGGCCCTAATAGGCTTCCGTAGGAAATATGTCCTATATACTGCTCACCACATTGCTTTCAAACATGTCTGATGATGAACCTGAGAAAAGAGTTAATGTATTTCAATAATCAAAATGACACAACGACTTCACAGTGGATTATTCAGGTCCATGATCAATGCCACTTCCCCAGTAACCTCTGGCTTTGAGCACTTTAAGTTATTTTAAGATGTTAAAAATATCAGAAATAACTGCCACGTTTGATGATATGTCCATAGTGGCTTGGAAAAGTGCTTCAGTCATCTATCATAACATCTATCAGGAACGTCTGAAGAAGTCACGAATGTTTACTCTGTTCACCATGGTTTAAGGGGCCCTATTCCGGTATACGGCTACAAGATGCAAAAAACTATTCGAGATAACGGTGGAATAGAAAATCTACGGTTGGTGGGAGGCCGTTTCTGAGTAGGCAAGGCAAAGTCTGCTCCTCGCCCATTTCGGAAAAGAAAGACAATCCACAAGTAGAGCTTGTTTCCCAAGACGAGGACAAATACAAAGTAGTCCAACACACAGAACATAAAAAGCAGTCCAACATACAAGAAGACAAAAAGTAGTCCAACACACAGAAAAGTAGTCCATCATACAGAAGACAAAATACATATTTGGTCGATGTTTCCAATGTTTTTGCAACTTTTTTCTTGTGTGTGTGGGCGGTGGGGTAGCCTAGTGGTTAAAGTGTTGGCTGGTCACGCCGAAGACCCGGGTTCGAATCCCCACATGGGTACGATGTGTGAAGCCCATTTCTGGTGTCCCCCGCCGTGATGTTGCTGGAATATTGCTAAAAGCTGTTGCAAAATGAACAAAGCCTCTTCCAAGATACCTTTTCTCTTGTGACGTTGCGCTACATAAAAATCCTATAATTCTTGCCAGACAGAAGTAACCCAATCCTAACGCTACTACAAAACATACAGAGATGACATTGTCTCTGCTCTACTCCATTGTCATCGGCCACAGTTCGTGTACAGAGAATTTGGAAATGCGCATAATGAACGAAAGACATTTCATTTAATTTTACTAATTTTCTTGAATTTTCAAGATACTAAGTTGAATTTTCAAGATACTTACTTGAATGTTCAACAAAGTTAAGTTGAATTTTTAAGATAGTAAGTTGAATTTTCAAGAGAGGATGCTGAATTTTCACGATGCTAAGTTGAAATTTCAGGATACTAAGTTGAATTTTCAAGAAAGAATGTTGAATTTTCAAGATAGTAAGTTGAATTTTCAAGATAGCAAGTTGAATTTTCAACATAAAAGATGCTGAATAATAGCATAGCGTGGCCCTAATAGGCTTCCGTAGGAAATATGTCCTATATACTGCTCACCACATTGCTTTCAAACATGTCTGATGATGAACCTGAGAAAAAGAGTTAATGTATTTCAATAATCAAAATGACACAACGACTTCACAGTGGATTATTCAGGTCCATGATCAATGCCACTTCCCCAGTAACCTCTGGCTTTGAGCACTTTAAGTTATTTTAAGATGTTAAAAATATCAGAAATAACTGCCACGTTTGATGATATGTCCATAGTGGCTTGGAAAAGTGCTTCAGTCATCTATCATAACATCTATCAGGAACGTCTGAAGAAGTCACGAATGTTTACTCTGTTCACCATGGTTTAAGGGGCCCTATTCCGGTATACGGCTACAAGATGCAAAAAACTATTCGAGATAACGGTGGAATAGAAAATCTACGGTTGGTGGGAGGCCGTTTCTGAGTAGGCAAGGCAAAGTCTGCTCCTCGCCCATTTCGGAAAAGAAAGACAATCCACAAGTAGAGCTTGTTTCCCAAGACGAGGACAAATACAAAGTAGTCCAACACACAGAACATAAAAAGCAGTCCAACATACAAGAAGACAAAAAGTAGTCCAACACACAGAAAAGTAGTCCATCATACAGAAGACAAAATACATATTTGGTCGATGTTTCCAATGTTTTTGCAACTTTTTTCTTGTGTGTGTGGGCGGTGGGGTAGCCTAGTGGTTAAAGTGTTGGCTGGTCACGCCGAAGACCCGGGTTCGAATCCCCACATGGGTACGATGTGTGAAGCCCATTTCTGGTGTCCCCCGCCGTGATGTTGCTGGAATATTGCTAAAAGCGGTGTAAAACCAAACTCAGCCAGTCAGTCTTGTGGGTGTATCCAAACTGCTACTATTTGCCACGACTGTCACACAATGTACACGTACAACTAGCACACAATGTACACACACGGTGTACTGTATACGATACAAACTCATGGCATGTGTGTGCGAGGACTGCTTTTGTGTGTTGGACTACTTTTTGTATTCCTGGGCTACTTTTGCCCGTGTATACTACATTTTAGTTTTTTTTCAGTGGGCTGTGGGAGCCGAATTGGACAGAAAGGACACGAGGAGGGGGAAGGTGTATCTCAAACGGGATTTTCTGCCATTACGCGTACTACTACTGGAATGGGTTCAGTGATTTTCATTGAGTACACACCACTGACAATAACATATACTGGTAGGGGGTCCTTGATTTTCATGGAGTACAAACCTTGGCAACAACATATAATGTAATGGAAGCTGTGATTTTCATGAAGTACAAACCCTGGCAACAACATATACTGTCAGGAAACCCGTGATTTTCATGGAGAACAGAGCACTGGCAATAACATTCTAACACTCTATTGTCCTTTTTTCTAGTTGTTGCTCTTTATATGTCCAAAGAAGAAAATAACAAACCTGTACCAAAGGACTGTAATTTCCTATGTGTCCCAACTTCCAAGAACTCATGATACTGTAACAATGAGATATCATTATCTGTCCGAGATAACACCCCTATCTCCACCTGGGGAAGCACCTGTTTCATATACTGTTTATCGACAAGCTTTTATCTCTCTCTTGACACTTTGTCTGTTTCAATTTAAAAACATTTTCTTAAATAGTGGGATTCTTATTTTTTTTAACTGAGAGGTATTATATATTGACATCGTATGTTAACACTACATTCATGGAACAATGTAAAACTTATAACATGTTATATTTGGGATTAGACTTTCTTAGTAAAGTACAAATTCTAGTACTTTTTTGGGTTGAGTCCTATTCGGGATTCGAACCCACACCCTCAGAGTCAGGCAGCAAATCGCCAGCACACAAAGTCAGCCGACTAGCCCGCTCTGCGAATGGGACTCAACTCAAAAATGTACTTGAATTTGTACTTTATTAAGAAAGTGTAATCCCAAATATAACATGTTACGTTTGACCACTTTCTAAATGGCATTGTGTAATCAATGTAAAACTTATCCCTTTTCACAACGTGGTACAAAGGCATGACATTAGTTGCGATTATGATATTATCTATCTAAACACTTGAAGTGAGATAGCATTTTGTCTATCTATGACAGATATACCTTCTCTCTGCTGATTGATGCACATATTTATACCCATCACTGTTCATGTACATTTAGAGCCGGTATCTGTTGACGGCGGATATGGAAATACATGTCCAATAATTTGGTCACCCTGTGATTTCTGAAATGCTTGCATCTGGTGTGATCTGTGTATTTATCAAATACGGCATGCGTAAGTTTTTGTAAATTATTCAAACTAATGAGAGAATAAATTTTGCATATTGAACAGTTTTACTTTATTTTTCTTCTGAGGGCGGTCGCCGTTGTGATATTTTCTTGGAATAATGCGAAGAGCGACGTAAAACCATACTCACTCATTCATTCAGAGGGGCGGTTCGGTAGTCTGTTTAAACGTCCCTCGTCACGTTGAGGACCCGGGTTCGATTCCCTAAATGGGTACAATGTTTGAAGCCCATTTCGGCTGCCCCCGACATGATATTGCTGGAATATTACTAAACACGGCGTAAAACCATACTCATGCATTCACTCACTCACTCTTTGTCCTGTGGTCAGTCTGGGACAGAACCGATCCCCATCTTGGCATTAATGGCCTTCTCTGGAATTCCATGTTGTTGTTTTTATCTGTTGAAGTCAGTGTATTTCCATTTTGAACATTGTAAATCACTGTCATGTTATGCTTACAAACAAAAGGGAAACAAAACACTTCACTTGCCGTGACTTTCCATTGTTCACAATTATATCCATCGTCAAATATTCCAATATGAACAAAAACAACTCGAGCAACTTGCTACGAATTGGAAACACTGCTTCCATATCATGAATTCTGTGGATTCGTATATATGGAAAAGGTGATTAACTGAAAGGATGAATATGAAAAGGATGACGTTGTTTACACCTACAAGAACTCTGATAACATGACCATATATGTAAGCATCACAGCATTTACCGTTTGATAATCACATATGATATCGTTTGCCGGACAAATGTCACGCGACAATTTTTGTATTGTGTGTCTGCAGATACTGTGTGCGAGATCAGCATGTTATACATTACAGGGTGCACGTGTATCACGAAGTCCAAAGGTTAGGGGCAAATGCTCCTCAGGGAAATTTTTTCGGGGGTGAGAGAGGGGGTTGGTTGTGGTGTGCACTCCCGCACCCCCTCTAGATCCCCCCTGCACTATAGTTAGTATGTTCTACTTGGATAAATACATCAAACAGTGTCGGACCTAGAGTAAAATAGCAGTTCATGCAAGAATGAATCAGGTCTTTCAACAACAAGTTTTACAATGACTAAACTTTGTTTATCTAACTTTAACAAGGTCATATAAAAATTCCTTCAGCATGCGTAGACCTAGACTATGTGCTGCGGCGTGAAGCCTTATTACCCAATCAACATCGCCCGAACTGGGTTAAGTGGTGATACAGACTCGGCAACTGACCGTCCAGGTGAAGGACAGCGAGATAACAGAACCCTCGCACTCACGTTGTATAACACGGTAACTATTGTGTGATTTGTTATTGCACTCATAACATACATACACACATGCAAGCACACACACGCGGGCGCGCGCGCATACACACAGATATGCGTGCGTGACTGCGTGTGTGAATGAATGTAATGATTGCAATAACAAATACATATGATTCTTTCATGATTCGCTGAATCGATAAATATGTAGGTGCACTGGAACTGCTTTGTCGCTTTACACTTCGTGATATGATGGAGGTGTTGGGTGTGAGTGATAATCTAAATGTAAATGTGCCGATACCAAAATTGTGTGGTTAACCTTTCCAATTTCTAAGGTAGATTCATAAAGTACAGAATTGAGGTTAAATTCCATTGCGTGGAGGTATTAATTTGATCTTATGATGCTATAATCTAGACATATGAAGAGCAGTATAATGAGCAGCATCTCGTTATGGGCCGCTTCAACCTAGTCTGAGTTGTGAGTGATAGATCTGACATGTTCTCCTCCATAGTCCAGGTCACAATACTGTTGATTAACATGACAGCAAGGATTCCGGTGATCATAGCCCCTGTCATATACCACACTCGTGATGGGGGAATGTTGAGATGCAGTTGGTAACTGATGTTTATAGGTATTCAGGAGGTTAAAGAAGAATCCTTTTCATTTAGTCACAGTTATGATATATTATGCCATCATACACATCATACTAATGATAAGTAATTTATTGTGCAATAATCTGAGATATTCCCAGCTGCTTCAGTGATCACTCACTCACTCACTCACTCGTCCACTCACTCACTCACTCACTCACTCATAAGCAATGTTCAGGATCTTTTGTACGTCTTCTCAGGGATAATTGACAGCATTCTACGTCTCCTCAGGGATAATTTACAGCATTCTACGTCTCCTCAGGGATAATTTACAGCATTCTACGTCTCCTCAGGGATAATCTACAGCATTCTACGTCTCCTCAGGGATAATCTACAGCATTCTACGTCTCCTCAGGGATAATCTACAGCATTCTACTTCTTCTCAGGGATAATCTACATCATTCTACGTCTCCTCAGGGATAATCTACAGCATTCTACGTCTCCTCAGGGATAATCTACAGCATTCTACGTCTCCTCAGGGATAATCTACAGCAGTCTACGTCTTCTTCCCTGGTCTGCTGGCAGGATGACATGAACCCAGAAATGAAGTCATCACACGAAAGTGAAATAGAGGATGTCCATTGTGTATAGGGATGTCCTTTTACAGTGTGTCTTTACCCTAAATAAATACTTCACACGCACCTTCCGGTTGTATAGGATAAGGAACTAAAAACGGTATTTGTGTGGCCGGGACTATTTCACAGAATTATTCCTGTGGCTTCATGCACATGCTATGTATACTTTTGTAAAAACAAGTCTGTGGCTTCCTGTACATACTATACTACAAACAAAAAGTATGGGAACACCCTCAAATTTGATAGTCATATAATAACTTAAACGTGGTGAGGTCATTTATACTCTAAGATAAATGCAACTTTTTGTCTGCTTTATGGGCACTTTAAACGACATGTTAGAGTATGCGGTGAAGCGACTGAATCAATATTCGTTGAGTTTGAGTGAAATGAAACATTGTCAAACACAACGAAAAACAAGGGTGCTGAAACACACCAACACCATGTTTGATTCAAACGCCCAAACACAACAGCCTAGTGCATATGGAAGACAGACTTCCCATACAGCTTGTTGCAACTAGGCACTAGCAGTTGTGGATCGGTTCCGAAGGGCTTGGAGCACAACATGTCGGTCATCTGCCCTTCATGTTTTCTGGGTCTTCCAGCGCGAGGTCTGTCCTATACTCTAGCAGAGGCCTGGAACATGTCCCTCATTGTGTGAATGACAGAGGGAGACACCTGAAGACGGCGAGCAACACTAGTAGTGGACACAATCTGCAGAAAAACTGGTGGAGGTACATCAATGTTAAAGCAATGGGAAAAAAGCTTGTGGAGGCCCTTTTCGACTATTTTTCTGTGTATTGGACCACTTTTCGTCTTCCATTCTCCGTATACAGAAAAATACAACATCATACGGCAAGATGCAGCATACGATAACATACAACATACGGCAACATACAACATGGAACACAAAAAGTAGTCCAACACACACAAACGTAGTCCCGGAAGAGGAGTAGTATACACGAAACATCAATTTTGGCAACAAATACCCCAGTTGGTTCGTCTACATATCTTTTTTTCCACATATTTTTTGTTTGGAACATTGAATCTATCTCTATCCTCCCAATAGTTGCTAGAATAGCACTACTAGAAACATTGTCCCTTCTTGCTACTGGGTATACAAGAGATATATGCATATAGCCACGAGTACTACCATCGGGAGCCACCCCACGAGATTCTCGAACAGCTCTGGCAATCCTACCAACTATAGATTTAGCTCCACCAAAGTACAAGATAGGTGTCCTCAAAATGCTCCTCAAATCTTCCCTACGTAGATAGCCAAAGACGTATACATCATCTAGAAATACTGGTTGTCCTTCTAGAGGACGAAGTTTGGCCCGACCTAGATGTCCTTGTAGATAGTCTACCTTGGAGATATCGGATACGAGATTGCTGTCGTATGCCGTTTGCTATTTTTCTCGAGTGCTGCAGATATGACTCCAGCCTAGGCGGAGGGCAATGCCGACTGCCTTCCTGTCCTCATTGGAAGTTGTCTCGCCGAAGGTACAGAGGAATGGTTTGCCAACCATCTGCAAGAACGTATACCCACCAAGGTCCCGTACGAGGCTCGATAGGTTGTTGCTGTAGACTGGTACGAGTTCTCCAACAGGAATATTTGCTTGGCCTACTGTTGGCCAGGCTATCTCGGTGTCTGTGTAGAAGATATACCCGCCTGGCGGTGGCCTTCCGGCGAACCCGATACAGGTGTTTGTTATTTCGGGTATCTGTA